AACATTCAATCCAGACAATAAATAGACTATATAAAAAGATGGACCACATGGAAAATCCCCAAAAGTGAAGCCAAAACAGCATTTGGAACTCCCATTTGTGACTGGCTGCTGTATAAATCTTAGAAGCCTGCCTCCTTTATATGAACCATTGGGAAATTGCTCAACCTTTAAAATCAAAATAAAGCTAATTATTTTTCTGACACATGGTTTCTGTTGTCGAAGTTCCTTTTTCTGAAAGTTCACATTTGATTAGCCCAGAATCAGGAATAAAAACTGTACTGAAAGGATCGTTGACTTTGGCCAATCCAGTAACAACCCATTTCACCATGGACTGTCTTCTGATTGGGCCCAGCAAAGTCCACAATGTTCATTTCGTGTGCAACCACGTAGCTACTTTCGAATGTCATTTGCCATGGCAGCTTCTTTGCAGTCTTAAATCAAGAGACTGTAAAGATGTACATCCTATTTTAAGAGTCAGTGTACTCTCTATTACAGTGGGTGTCCGCTTAGACTCTGGTTTCAAATGTACAATTCACCAGTCCAGGTCACAGTGGTGCCAGTTTATTTTGGCTTCACCTATCTTTGACAGGAGGGGGTGTGTTGTCCATATTGACTACAGTCAATTAGTGAAAAAATAAATCAGGCTTGTTTAGTAAAGACACATAAATGGAATTGAAGCCTCCACTTTCTTATCCATTTTATGCTATGGATTCTAATAATGGGCAGTGTTTTTTTTCATAATTACACTTGGTAGTCTTTACGAGGATGACACATGACGCAAGTATTAACCTCAATAGCTAGAGCTGAGAGCACTCATCACGGACACAGAGTACTAACAAAGCTGACTCAATTTAAACCTGCTAGTCCAGGCTTTTGTCTTGAACAAGTATAATTACTTTGGGCATTCAATTCAAAACCTGTCCAGATACCCTGACCCTGTGACTTGCTACTAAAATATCAGCATGCTTACTAACTGCTACAGCACTAAAATATAAGTTACTACATTAATTAGGTATTGGCAGATTCTCCGCATTGCTTCCCTATAGCAATAATTGGATTCAAGGTTATAGTCTGATCCCTATTAACATTGCTTATTATTAAAATGAAATACTATTTCCAGTAATAGACACGGCACACAGCTTTGGAGGACCAAAGAGAGCTGGAGTTAAATTATGCCACTCGGATCAACAGAAGGCTACTGCAGGCAGACGTAGCTCTTAGGTATAATTATGCTACTGCTCAGTTCATTATGCTTCCCTCTCGCTTTACCTCTTGAGGTTAGGCCTCAGAAAGAGATTCAAACTCAAATGTTAGTCCTCAAAAACCTGTGATTAAGACAAGAAAGGCTATGCTGTGTCTACTGCTCATTTCTGGAACTTTCTGAACACACCATAGGCTCATCGACTGCAATTAGCTAGGTTTCACCTAATAAATGTTTTTGAAGCTCTACCATCTGGACAAAGACCACCCAGCAAGTCGCATATCCTGTTATCTTTAGGGGCTTGGGGGGGCTTTTTTCTCCCATCCAATTATCAGAAATCAGGGTCCCCTGGTGTTTTCCTTGACCATGACAGTGTGAATGAATCAAAATAAATAAAGTGTTGCTCCGCAGGGAGGAGAAGCAAAGCAGAGGACAAATAATTCACCTCACAAATTAAGTATGAGTTCAATTCTATTAGAAAAGTGCAACACTAAACATGTTCTATTAAACTTAGCACTCTTTTACAGAACTAGTTTTTCATTAAAACGGATCAATATTTTATAAGTAATGTGTGTAAAACTAGCATAAAATTTCTTACATAATAAGATTAATATGACGCTGGTTAGCAGACATGTTTTAGTTGTATTGGTGGTCATGTGTGGGACTCCTGCAGTTTCATTTTACAATATTTTGGACAGGTCAGCAGTGTTAGGCTAGCTTTTGTCATTGTTGCAAAGTCTATATTTTTTGATGACTCTCAAACAAACCTTTAATTTAATGCAAGTGCAACCACATTTTCAAGGTTCAACTGCTTGCATAGGGATGAGGAGCTCATTAAATGCAAAGCCAACTAAATTATTGGAGATTACAGGAATTAAAAGTGTCAGTCATTTCCTCCGACTGAACCTGGTCACTGAACCTTTCTCCGCTTTTGGAAGTGACATAAGGATTTGTGTCTGTCAGCGTGCTGAGTTTAGACAACTTTAAATTAGCACGCTGTTGACAAAACTGTCACTTTAGTTTCTGCAGAGATGTTGACTCAAGGCTGTAAGACAGCCCGAAGGAAGTGAATTGAAAGAATCTGTCTTACCGCCACATGGTTTTTGGCCCCTTCGGTGACCCATCAGGAGCTTTGTGAAGAGCAATCCCAAAAGCTAAATGAACCTGCACTGTGGTGTCGCCTCGGGGGAGTGTACAGCAGCTGCTGTCTGACTAGCTGAAAAACTCAAAGGCTCAAATATTCCCCAAATGTGTGTTTTGTATCTTTTTCTTCATCACAGTAGTGTTTTTTTTGTAATGATTTATATCTAGGCATATTTCTGATCAAGGAAAACAACACAGGATCAAGCTTTACGTCCCTAACAGTCTTTCGTGCACTTTAATTTCAGAGAGTGTGAAAAATCCTGATACTTGTGAACTATCATCTGCAACTAACAAGCATATCTGAGGTATACTCTGAAACTATAGGATACATTAGCTACTTCCACAAAATATTTCTGCTATGTTAATCTATCATATCAAATATCATACAACAAATATAACTATTACTTGATTACAAAAAATATAGACTAATAACATTCAGGATCACCTATCCATTAACGTTTACATTTTTTTCTCTGTGGCTTTGGTACATTTCACAGATCAGAATTGAAAGTCTCAAAACTATTTGTTCAATCTTTGCATCATCATGTCAAAACAACAGTTTCTCATTTCTCTGCTGTTTCCCACATTATCAATTTCTCATGTCATGTTGGTCAAAATGTATTATAATGGGTCTCTGTTGAATAGCCTCAACCTCCACAACATTCAGACATTAGATCATCACATGAGTCTTTACATGCAAAATGGTTGAACAAGTTATAACATGTTGAGCATATTTTTTTATACATTTTAATTGGACTTATTTTTTTTTCTAAATCTGTCCTAAACTGGTAAATTTCTTCCAGGTGATTCTTAACTTTCTCTAATGAAGGGGGATTTGTGGAGCATTAGATCAACCAGTTTTCTGAAATAACTCAAAGGTGTATCTCATGAACCATCAACTGGCAAGTATATACAGTATATAGTTGGAGCACAACACAATGTTACAATGTCTGACAATGGAAGGACATCAAATTGTAAGGGGTCAACCACAGATAAATATAGAAGACTAGATACGCTAGCGCGCTGTAGCAGCCCGCTGAGTGACCATCTTGGCAGGGGCAATGGTCCCATTGAAGGCATTGGATGGACATGGAAAATAAATCATATCTTGCTCATTTCTTAACCAATTTTCATGTGGTTTACTTTATTTTCAACCCCAAAACATGTGCTATTAATACAGAAGATTTGATTAAATTAAAAAAAATGATAATAATAACCAATTGATCTGTATTAAGAGCACACGTTTTGGCTTTGACAATAAAATAAACCACATGGAAATCAAGTTATTTTCCATGTACATGCATTGCTTTAAAAGGGAACAACGCCACCACTAGCTTAGCCCACCGTAGAGGCATGTCATAGCTATGTGATCATATTTGTGGGGTCAACAGTCAGAGAGAAGAGGAAGAGGGGGATGAGTTGGGAGGCAAAACAGAGGAAGAGACAGAAGAGGCAGAGAACATATGCTGGTTCACGATGAGATAAGAGTCACTTGTAGACTATGTTGTCAGTCTTACAATGGCTTAAAATGTCTGAGGCTGGTTGAAGGATGCAGCCAAATGCTGGGAGAACAATTGTGTCCTCAATCATTCAGACTTTACAGAATCGGTATGTAATCTAACAATAGGCACTGTACTATAATACGGTATACTCCATGTTCCATCACGCCAACATAATCAGGCAATGGTTTGCTGATGGAGTTCCTCCCACTCTATCTCCCCATTCCTTAACCCCATAAAGGAATGTTTCTCAGCATGGAGATGGGAAAAACATACAGAGATGACCCTTCTGGCTGCCATGGATGCAGAGTGTGATGACATTGCCGCAGATGCCTGCAGAGACTAGATAAGACACTCAGATTCTTTCCATGCTGCATTACAAAAGAAGGTATTTATTGTGATGTGGACAAGATTGTCCTAGATTCACATATCTCGTTTTTTTTTTGTTTTCTCTTTGTGCTATGCAGTGCTTTCTTTTCCTTTTTGTATCGCAGTGAAATGGTCTGCCATCAAATTACAGGACAAACAGTAAAAGCGTAAACGTGAATCTCGTCCAGTCTCTTGCATTCCATCTGCCACATACACTTTGGTGTAATTGAAGATTTACAATCACTTTTCATCAAAACTTGAGCCATAGTTGACATCAGAACATCCCTCCAGAATACACCGTTATACTGACAACATGACTAAGCAATTTGAGTGTCTTATCCGTACTCAATGACACAAGGACTTGTCATTCTGATGGCACAGACATGTTCATTGACACAGACATTCAACTAAGCATTTTGAGCAAGAGACTGGCTTTTGCAGGTAATCCATGGTGCTTTTCTATTTGTATGAATTGTTTTGAGAAATGTTCTTACTGTTTTGCAAAAGTCAAGGATGATTTGAGAAACGTACCAAAGCGACAGAGAAAAACTGTAAAAGTAGTTTGACTGAGACAGAGTAGGGTGGCACAGTGACAGGATGCTCATCTCCCAGTTAGGAAACAGCGATAAACCTCACTATTTCGTCTTTTTCATTTTGGTATAATTACTGAACAATCAATTACATTGAAAAAAAAAAAAAAGTAGATATTGTAAACATTGTACCGCTTCAAAAGCACATGTCACAAGACGTGGTCGGCAAACGTTTTTACAGGCAGCACTGACAGCTTTTCACTCCTCCTCCATCGACTTCTCAATCTCCTTCAGCCTGCGGACAAACTCCTGAGCCTCCCTGTCTCCGATGCGGGCGTCCAGCATCCTCATGATTGGCTTCTCTGGAGGGGAGAGCAAACAGATGAGAGTAGTTCCTGCACCTGACACAAATATCTCTAGATTGAATGGCTTTTCATGTCGTATTGAACAAAGTAATTGGAAATCCACACCTATACCCTGGGGTCTCCCATGAAGCTGATATTATGTTTGGGTGAAACAAAAAAAAACTGATACAGCCAGAAGCTGTTATGTACCGCTGGGTTTACTGCGAGACAAGTGAAGGATGACAGGCTGGACGCTCTTGCCGGCTGCTGAGGCGTTCGGCCTCCCAGGCCAGCAGAAGTCGCTGAGAGGAGCAACGGCCTCTCCGGCGAAGTCGTTAGTGGAGAGCCAGTCATAGTCCATCACAGTGAAGGTCAAACAGGCATACCTGTGTCTGTACTGCTCAGGACTGACGTGGCTGAAAGACAGGAACCAATCAGATCACTGAACACTCCTTACAGAGACAAAAATACATCCTTTATGTACATGGTGCCATTACCTTGAGACCCTTGAAAAAAAGAGCAGGGTAGACCTTCCTCTAAGCAACCCAGTGTAATGATAATGATCATTAAAGGATAACCTTCATCTTTTAAACAGCTTTGGAATAAATGTACAGCAGCTGTTAAAAAAGCTAAATCTGACTATTATTTAAATCTGATCACTTGCTCCTCCTCAAATCCTGCAAAGTTCAAAACACGACTTCCAAACCATTTCCTGTTAAAATAAAAATCAATGATCTGTGCTTTCAAATAAATTTGAAATTTGCTCAGCTTTCAACCAGCACGATACAGATGCTGCATTTTTATTTGATAAAGAATTTCCCGGGCTCCTTTCAGGTGTCAAAAATACTGGAGCAGATATTGACAGTGTGATAACAGAGGGCGATACCACCCGCTTCTCATTTAGTCTTCTCAGCTACAATCATTAGATACAAGATGCTCCACCGGTGAGGACAATCTACACCCTGCCTTTTTTAAACTTGCTGCTCAAGTCACCACAGGTCTCTTAATAACTATTTTTAACATTTCCATTTCCAAGAGTGTGGAAATCTGCACATGTAGTTCCCCTGCACCAAGGGTGGTGTGAGGGAGGACATGAATAATTACCTGACTCTACTCTGTTTTTAAAGAATTATGGAATCATTAGTCAACACTCAACTCAAGCCCTTTCTACCACATCTCTCAGTACTAAACCCAAATCAGTCCGGTTTTGGATCATGGCACAGTCTCAGCCATTATACAACAATGATGAATGATATAATTTCAGCTTTGGATACAAAACACCACTGTACTGCCCTGTTTATAAACCTGTCAAAGGCTTTCAATACAGTTGATCACCACCTTCTTTTAAATAAATTGTCTTTTGTGTGTTGGAAAAAAAGTGCTTGTGTTTGGTTTGAAGAAAGTGTTAGGTTGGGCCATGCCAAATCAGACTTTTATGTATCAGTAGAGGCGTACCACAAGGTATAATTCTAGAACCCATGTTCTTTACTTAGTACATCAAAGATATTGTTTCCTCTTTGAATATCTGTGATGCCAATCTCTATGCAGATGAAATAGTTTTAAATTGTTTTGCAAATTTTGTACAATGAGCCATCAGTCATTTGCAACTTGCATTAGTTCATATAAAAAATCCTAAATCAACCATAAACTACAACTAAATGCAGTCAAAACTGAATCCATGCTCCAGAGCCAGAAGCATTGCATACATATATTTGCACATATGTTCCATGTTGCAACAGTTTGCTTCCTGTACAGAAATAAATCCAGTTTCTCTTTGTCCTGTAGAGGAATTGTTGAAGCTGTGTTATGGTCTGTTATGGAGTACCATGATATAATTTACAGACATGCAGCAGCCTCCACTTTAAAACCTCTAGACTCTGTCTATCACTCTTCCATTAGATTTATAACCAGGGACAGGCATGATGCTCATCCTTGTGTCCTGTATTTGAAGGTTGGTCTTCTCTTGAAGAGAGATGTAATAAACATTTTTTTTTTCCTTTATTTGTTTAATTTCAATGCCTTCATTGGAAAATATCCATTTTATATCACAAACCTTTTGGAGTGCAATCCTGTCACATTGCTACATGACCCACTGATACAGTCCCTCGAGTTTATGTTGAACTTGGTAAAACAAAATTTTACGATGTTGGAATGCTCTCCTAAAAACTATAAAAAAGTCAAGTTCCTCCTTCCCTTGCAGACTTGAGGACAATGATTTTTAACCATTTTGTTTCGGATTCTATGTGTTTTAACTGATCTCTATTATCTTGTAAATCACATCTGTTTGCTTGTTCTGATGTGTTGTAATCTCGGCGGTATTGGAAATGAAGGAACCCTCAACAGTCTTTTCAAGAATAAATAAAGGTTTGAAAATCTATACATCAAATTAAAAGAACAGGTTGTACGATGTGTTTTGACAGCATATATGCAATACAATCATGAAGAACACAAAGAAACAAAAAAATCCATTTTGCTATCAAGGGAGGAGGATGATTGAAGCAATAAAAGGGAAGTAATAAAGAGCATATAAAAGCAAAAAAACAGAATAAAGGAGAGAGAGAAGGTTAAAAAGAGGACAAGGACGGCATCAAATACCAGAGACTATAGCAGAGAATTTCCAGAAGTAGTCAAAAAGATGTAATTGCTTCTGTGAACTTTATCTCCTCAGGCAGGGGCCTCGACTTGAAACAACCAAGAGAGTTCCTGCACTAGGATCTAAGGCTGTGGACTGACTCATACAGGGATTGAGTCATGTGCAAGCACAGATTAAAGTGGCTAAACTAGACTCAAAACTGAATTGAATTGGGCAGAAGCCTTAAGAAAAAGACAGAATTTCTGCTTGACTGCTGTTTGACAAGGCCAAGATGAGGAAATTAGATCAAAACAAGACGAGGACTAAAGGAAATAAATAGACAAACAGAGAAACAGGGACAAGCATGTACAACACAACTGAAATAAGCAAGAATAACACAGAGAAGAGGAGGAGAAAGAAGTAGTACTCACAAGTAAAAGAGTTCATCAAAGACTGGATGAAGTGTCTTTAGTTTGACTTGAGTGCGTTGACTCTTGGCCAAAGGGAACAGGTGGTGAGGACAGAGCTCCACTATGACAAAGGGATCGCTCAGACCTGAATAGTAGCAGAGACAGTGACTGATACACCAACCTGAAAAGACTACCCTGTATATATCATTGACTGCTGTTACCATTGGCATCCAGCGCAATTATATCAGCAGCGTGCAGAATTTCCACCGTCAGCCTCTGCTCTGGTGCATCATAGTAGCACTTCACACTTATCCGACCAAAGCGAGTGTGTTTGAGTGTTTTCTGCAACATTTCACACAGTTTAAATCACTGCAATTTAAACAATCAGCTGGCCAATGTAAGGTAGTACTGGGGTAATGTTAGTTTATCACATAAACGCATGTCTTATTTGGATTGTCCTTTTCTTTTCAGTGCTCTCTTTAAAATTAAAAAAGTTTCCACACAGACAAAATCTCAATCAGGGTAAAACACAAGATGACACAGTGTGGTGTTGTCCAATCAATACATCCCTGACCACTTTGTAGCTAAAGTGAAATAGTCAGCCTGGGGAGTTGAAACACACCTGTAGGGAAATCTTCTCCAGATAGTACTGTTCAATCAGCTCAAATGAAGAGCATTTGTTCAGCCTGAGCTCCTCATCCAAGGCCTACAGCAGGATGAGTGTGTTAGATGGAGAGAAACATCATGAATCACTTATTTCTCAAATAGAATCCAAGAGGTCTTACCTTGTAGTCCCCACTCTTCATATCTTCCACTAAAAGGCCCTCTCCTTTTGCATGGAAAAACTGCAACAGGGTCTAAAACATGCAAGAAAACCTCTTAGAAATGTTACATGCCACCTTGAAGACACGATATTCGGCCTTCATATTCTGATATAAGGAAGTCATGGCATGATAGAAAGACTTGTTGTTCACACAAACAGCATGAAACCTCTGGCAGACGAACTCTATATATCTGCCAAACTCAGCCCACTTGTGCATCATTCCGCGATTTTTCATGCAAATCTGTCACATCCAATGCCAGCTGGTCAAATTGGCACTGGAATACATTATAAACAGAGTGTGCCATATTGTCATTCACAAGGAGCTCGATTTGCACCTGTAGTATTATCTGGTGGCCTTAAAATGATTTATTTATGCTAACGATGACAGGACAGCAAACACGGTCTGCAGCGCTGATATGAAGCTAGTGAAAACAGTAGAGATGAAAATCTTCACTGAGAAGGAATCACATAGGACCAAGAAGCAAGACGTTCTGCAACCTGATGGAGTGAATGCTAAAAACTGGTATAAACCAGCATCTGCTCAAATGACGATCCCTGCAGATTGACTTTAATTTGGTGAAAATAATCACTGCATCAAAAGCTGGATTTTACTCATAAAATTATATTTTTACACCATGTCATAAAAAAATCAAAGGATTCAGACTCTTTTACTGCTTACATTTGATCACTTTCTGCAGATGTACAGATCAGTCAGTCTTATCAAACTTTTATATGACATCCTTTATAATGTAAAGACTTATGCTGCATTCCAGTTGTACCCGGAGGTCGGCATTTCCGACTCGGAAAGTCGGACAATCCTCACCAACCCCGACTTGACAACGTCATAATCCAAGATGGCAGCGCTGTGCATCAACAGTAAAGAATAACAGTGAAAGCTCTCATAATATATTATTCATTTGCACCTCCATTTTGTTTTTGTGAAATCAAATAAGTTGCATATGATGTACTGTGAACACGGTGCTATGGTGTTTGTAAGAGTAAAATACTGTGTTATGCGTTGTTCACAACTGGTATAGCTAACAACAACTAACAACAACTGAAAACAGCCAACGACAGCTGACAAGTGTAAACAACAGCTAACAACGGCTATCAGTAGGTGTCCATCTTGGTTTTCCGACTTGTTTACTGGAACGCCGTCGACTCAGATGTAGCGTCATTCCCAGCGCCGACTTCCGAGGTGACTGGAATGCGGAATTGGGCTTTGTTTTATTATAAATTTGTATGATATCTCTCATATTTTAGCCTTGCAGTTGTTACCTCCTTTGCTCTGTGCATGCTTGTAATTGCTACAGCCTCTCTTTGGTTGTGTTCAATCGTTCCCATTTTAGACGCACACAGGTACACACACCCTCCTCCTTCTCCTGCTGCTCCTCTCCCTGCTCTCCTCTCTCCACCTGTGGTAACCTAACCCTAACCCTACTTTGTACTGCTATTATGCAATGTGTTGAAGATGCAGTGGCCTCACTATTAATTTGAGTGGGTGCTGCAACTCCATGCTCACAAACTTTGTTTCTCATCAATCTGAGCTGCTCATGAAGTGAAAGTGCGAGCTGTTTAGAGGAAGGGGTACACAACAACACAGCAACACAGCAGGCAGCAAAATATCATTTAATCTTTTGGAAGCCATTATTTTTATGGCTCCCCACATTTATTTGATTGTGGATGTGACGACCCACTGTGAATCTGCCAACTGTGGCGTCATATACACACACCTTTAATGGTTAGATTTAATTTAACAATCACTCACCTCTACTGTGTACTGGAAACGGTTGTAGAACTCCACCTGTACACCCCTGTTTTCTGCCACCGCGTCCAGGATCATCCTCAAAAGCAGCTCCCACATGCTTTGGAGAACTCTGCAAGAATAGAGCTCCCACGTTTGTGTACTTGAGCGCTTTCAATTACACTCCTGCGCCCTCACTTAGCTTTTCATGTTAACAAACATAATAGCTTAATGATGATGAGTTCAAGTGCAAAACATCTGAGTGGTCACAGCTTTCCCCTTGAACAATTCATTATAGTTAATTGAGACGATAGGAATTACAGGTTCTAGCTTAGCAGTGGGACATAAGCACAGGTGCCATAAATATCTATCAGGAAATCCATGTTTTGAAAGCGAGCTTGTGTTTCATGTGAAAGGAAAAAGAGGAGGCAGACTGGGCAGGAACTCAATTGTACACATTAGGAAAGATCATCTAATTATCATTCGATTTTCATGTCAATACATAATTGTTTTGGTTTGACAGTAAAGAGATTAGACATGAGCTCTAACTTACTGTACATTTCTAAATTTCTCTTCAACCTACGCTTCAATTTGCACTCCTGAAAAGTTTCCAAAGCTGCTTGCTTGCACATCCTTCACAGCGTGAAGTTTTCCCTTTCAGCAGACAGCAAGCAGGGGGAATGTGAGTCATAGCAGTCAGGACGTGACATCGAAAGCCAACTGAGAATGCAACAACGTCATGTTTACAATGTGACGACAGACAAAGCGACAGAGGCTTATACTAAGGCCACAATTTAGGCAGTTATTTCAATGTTGGGGGTGAAGACATGTTCACTGATGTTGTCTTGAAACTGTTTCACCTTTTAAACCTTAAATGTTTTTCTTTATCCTGAGTGTACTCTTGCCTCTGCATACGATACATTTTGACAAAAACTTCCTGCTGCATTCTCACACCTCCTTGACCTTGATTATAGAACTTATTCTCCCAAGAAGCTGGCAAACAGCTTCAGCTGGAACAATCCTTGTTTTTTGCATTTATACGAAACTTACCTTGGTTTTAAATGTTTAAATAAAGCTCAGATTTTTCAAAATCAAGTTCCCCTGATGATAGTCTGTTTTTAATGTCTTCATGACATGGAATAAAACTAACAAAATGAAATAAAAGACTGTAAAAAGACTTAAAAATGGGGCTTAAATTTGTGCTTCAGTTTTCAAGTCAACATTTTGCAGATGACACACTTTTTTATTTGTATGGCATCATAATACAGTTCCTTAAAAATGTCTGGTTTTCTGTGTCAGTTTTATGCTGATGACACTGTTTTATTTCAGTGGAGGAAAAATATATTCCTCAACACACTGGCTCCGTACCGCATGTTTCAATAACATCAAATCATGCTCCCATGTGAGTTTCAAGTAAACTGTCTTGTTTGTAAAGTCACAGTTTTTTTGTTTTTTTTTGGCCGATGATGCTCAGTTTTATGTCCATGTCAAATATACAGATAGGATGGCAAAGAATGGCTAGTCTAATCACACTTCATTCTTTGTGTAAAAAACTGTGATGTCAGGTCAGTATGGTTATATGATTTTCAGCAGGAAATTATGAATGTGCGCCTAGTTTTATCCATCATCTGTGATGTTCGTGACATGTTCCTGCTGTTGTTCTCTTATACTTCATTAGTTTTATAATAACAATGGTTATTTTTCAACATTTATCATTAAATGCACAAGCTCACCAGATGGCTATGAGCTGTTAGGCAGATTGTGCCACAATATTTACTCTGATTTGGTATTAATAGATGTTCATTGTCCTTGTCAAAAAGAAAATAAATGAGCCTGCATTCATAGTGAGGAGGAGGAAATAATTACCTGGCCAGGTTCTCCTTCACAAGGTTTTCAGTGAGGATGCTCATGGTGTCTTGTAGGTACTTCATCAACGGGGACACAGCCTGAAAGAAGGTTACATCACCACATATAGCATAAGTACCGCAGCTTCAAAACAACTGATAAAAGAGCGTTCTGGGCCTTACGTCGTCATTGTTGATGGAGTCCGGAGACAGGCTGATGTGCTGGATGTACCTCCTCAGCTCAGGGAGCATCTGCACAGAAATAGCCTCTCATACATGTAACAAGTGTTCACAAGTGGGGGCTTATGTGCATAATTAAGATGCAGGTACAACTTTTGCAAACTACATGAACAGTATGACCTGATGTTGTACATGCATAGTGCTAAATAATGTTATTTTAATTAAAGCACAGAATAAAATGTTCTTTTACACACTGAGGAAACTGAAGAGTTACTATGGAGTATTAAGGCCACATTAAGAAAAGATTAGACTGAGATTAAAGACATTATTTTATGAGAATAAAGTCACTACTAATGAGAATAAAGTCATACGAGTCTTATGAGAATAAAGCCATAATAAAGTAATAACTTACGAGAATAAAGTCGAAATAAAATCTTTATAATACTGATGATAATGTGGTGCTGATGTGCCAAAATATTAAGTATCTCCTTGTTTGAAAAACCTTTACTGAAGTACATTTTCATGAAAAGCTCCATGGCTTTAATTTCAACATGTCATCTTAAACAGCAAGTTAAAATATAAATACTTCATTCTGACTTTACTCTCATAAGTGATTACTTTACTACGACTTTATTCTTGCAAGTAAGTAATGATTTTATTATAACTTTATTCTTATTAGTAATTACTTTATTACCATTTTATTCTCATAAGTAAGTAATGATTTTATTACAACTTTATTCTCGTTAGTAATTACTTTATTATGAGTTTATTCTAGTAAGTAATGATTTTATTACGACTTAATTTTCATTAGTAATTACTTTATTACCACTTTATTCTCATAAGCAAGTAATAATTTTATTACAACTTTATTCTAGTAAGTAATGATTTTAGTACGACTTTATTTTCGTAAGTAATGATATTAGTACGACTTTACTCTCATAACTTATTACTTAATTACGACTTTATTTTGTAAGTAAATACTTTATTACAACTTTTTTATTACTAATTACTTAATACTCGTAAGTTAATGACTTTAATCTCAAAACTTTTTTTTAATTCTTACTGTGGCCCTAATACTTCGTCGTAGAAGAGTTGATGCATTCTTAAAAAAAAAAAAAAAGCACTTGAAAATTAATATGCTCATTCCCTCCAGAGCAAAGTGACAGTTTTTAATACATATGTTCATGCAGGTAGTGACTAAGTGAAATATCTGTCCTAGGAATGATTATTTTAAGTGTATTTGCTCTGCAGTTACTTCTGCAAGGAGTAAGACACCTTATCAGTGAGCAGGGCAATGAGTCGTTTAGCTTCTCTCTGAAGGTCCAGGTCCATATTGAACAGCTGCCCATTTAGCGCCTTGTAAACCTGCTCCTTCCCGTCCACCCCACAGGACTCCTCCATGGCCCGCTCCACACCCTGCCAGTCCAGGTCCTGAGGCAGATGACCCAGGTATACACGCACATGCTCCGCGTTGTTCAGGGCGATGCAGAGCTAGCAGAGAGCAAGGAGGAGCAGAAGAGGAGAAAAAGAGGGTGGGTAGTGGAGATACAAAGAAGGGAAAGAAGCAGGGCTAAAGAGAATTGGAGGAATGGGGTGCAGGTGTGAATGACTGACGATGACAACAACAGACAAGTGCTTCAAATTTTTCCTGAGTGTAAACATATCTGATCTCCCGTTGAGCCCTTTGTGTTGCCAGAGAGAACACTTGCTGACATTTACTTCCCACGTCACCACGTGCCCACCCCCTGTTCTGTCTCGCTACAGGCGTTACCTGCACTGTGAAGCTCTTGTGGTCTCGGCCCAGCTGGTTCCTCTCAATCTTGCGAGTTATCATCTCCGAGTAGCACACAGCCTCATTGCAAAAATTCTGTGAAGGATGAAATGTGAGTCTTTAGCTTTTCAATGTTACATTTCCTTTTTTTTTTTTTTTTACTTTGACTCTACGTCTGTTTAAAAAAGAAACTGTTTTAAAGCTGCTTGAACATGTGTATGGTCTGCTCAGAGTCATGTTTTCATGTGTGTACAGGTACGTGCAGATTGACACTAAAAGTGGTACTCACGTCTGTCAAACGGGTGATGAAGATGAAGGCCCCCGCAGAGTCAGGCCACGCCAGCTGGAGCCAGATCTCACGTACCTGGCTGAAACATGTTGTTACCTCCACTGCCGAGGAGCTGTGTTTGGCTTGCTGCATAGGCTCCAGCTGCTCTTACCACGCAGACAAGCACAACATGCAACATGTTACATATACAGTGTTTGCGGTAAACAAGAATTATGTAATTTTCATAAATAGTAATTTTTTGTAACTCCTCAGCCTTTCTGAAGAGGTTCAAAAACTGTCAGTATATCCAATATACCATGTAATTATGGAAGGGGATTAGGGCCACTGGGAATAAAAAAAAAAAAGTCCAATACATCTTTTTAATTATTATTCTGAGAAAAAAAGTCACAATTCTGAGATTAAAGTCAGAATTCTAAATTTAATGTCAGAATTAATCTTGCAGTGGACATGAGCATGATTCTCTCATCCACAATGGTGAGTCCATGTCCTACCCGTTTTCGACTGACAAACTAGCTAAACTGGAACACAACACTAATATCATGTGACATTTGCCTTTTTAAATCAAAAACAGACACATAAAAGGGGGAATATTTAACTACAAATGTTACACTAGTCCTTCCATTTGAATATCAAATACTAGTCAGTCATCCACTGCTATGTTGTGAAACAAGTAGGGCATGGACTCTCCGTTGTGGATGTGGCAGATGGCCTGAGAAAACCATGCTTATGTCCACTGTTTATATCTTTGGAGAAAAAAAGTCCGAATTCGGACTTTAATCTCAGAATAAAAATAAAAAATATATATTTTACTTTTTTTCCCAGTGGCCCTAATCCTCTTCCTTCTGTAAAGGTAACACATTAATTTTATATTTAATCTTTTGTTTCATTGTTAGTCTTAACCTTCATTTAAAGCATCTAATAAGATCGTTTCTGAGTGTTTATGAATGTATTTTCCAACCGTTGAACCTCTGCTGAAAGATCTTTTAATAAGCACTGAAAGCTCTAAAGAGGCTTGACGAATAACGCAGCTGGAGTTATACAATAATGTATGCCTTTGGTCTATTTGAAGTCTATTTACAGTAATAGGCATACTGTTAATGACTCCACGTGCCCCGTAGAGCTGCCATATAATCTGGCGCGCTTTCTTTGAGGTCCGCCATCTTGCATAGCCGCCTGCCTGCTGACAGTGACAGCAGCACAAACACTGTAAGGTTGGATTGAATACATTTTTGAATGGTTTTGTCAAAGGTCTCACTTTAGAGTTGCAAGTGGATCTGCAAGTTTTGGTAACATGAATCAGTGAACTGCTATTTCCAATCACAATATCCCCTTGCATATACAGGTGTGACTTATTTTTTGGATATTAAGGGGGTTTTTTTTTGTTGGTATTTTGTATAATAAATCTTTTAACCTGGATTTGAAATAAACTCATATAGAATTGATTCTATATTTAAGTAACATACTGACAGGAGTAACAATTAAAACAACTGTTTGTTTTTTTGTACGTACGTGCATATATATGTATATTTTTCTTCTTCTTATATGTTCACTATCAGTGGCCAAATTAACTGGTGTTACTATTCTTATTACCTTAAATATTTTGTTCGCTGTTACTTTTTCTCATGGACAGAAATAAGAACCAGAAAACTGAAAGAAAAATTGTATGAATATGGTTTGATACTGAGGGGACCAACAAGCCTGCCACATATTGCCACACTTTGGGTGTCATTTATTTATGTATGCACTTATATACTTTTTTTTTTTCTTTCTCTTTTTTTCTGCCTTGTCATGAATTTATGTGTATGTGTTTGTATGATTTATGTTTGATCAGAATATGAATTATTATACTCTGTGGCACATGAAAATAAAATTAAACATTATGTTAACAAAAAAAAAAAAAAAAAAAAACACCCATTCTGGGATATTATTAAAGACTGTGCATCTGCTATCAAACACAGTGTTTCATTGTTTCAGAGTCCACATTTTATACAATATCTAATCATTTTACCACTGTCAAGCTTTGTTTGACTACTATTTTTAACATCTATCTCAGGGCACAAGCCTCTCACCTTGTCTGTTTCCACAGCTTTACAAATCCTATCGCAGGATCTGTCGTGAATGATCTGCAGCCACTTGTGAATCGATGACTTGAACCAGTTATGAAAGCCGGTCAGGGCTAACATCTTTGCATCCCTGTTTGAGAGGGAACAAAAGCCTTTCTATTAAATGTGGAGATAAATCTACATTTTCTTCCTGACATTTCAGAAGCGTAACAGCACGTCTGGAACTTTTTAATGCTGTGGTGTGAATAGTTATGAGAGTCAGAGAGATAACCAACTTGAGAGGAAGAAACTCCCGAAAGCCTTTGAGGCTTTTCAAGGACATGAAGAGCTCAAAGATGGTCTCTCCCATGGCCTGAGTCAGTCTGGAGCTCTCCTGTTCCAGAGTCCCACAGACCCGCTCCATCGCCACATTAACATCATCTGCTACCTGTAAAGGTGTTGAGGATGTTTTTTAAAGTCACTTTGTCAAAGTCAGAGGTAACAATAGTGTAATCTTAAAACATATTTTCTCATTCTCACAATCACCGACCTGTTTCTCCAACTGTCTATATGAAATGCTGAAAAAATCGACTTTCACGGCACTGCAGGGCACAAAAGATAAAATAAGTCAAACAAACACGGATCAGTGGTTCTTGTTTTTCTTGATTAGATGTCAGGCACCGGTATTCACCTGTAGAAGAGTTTGTTGTAGATGTTCTGAGCTCGCTGCACGTCTGCAATAACAGCATCCACCACCTGAACCAGCTTCTTTAGCTGATCCTCTAGAGTCTGGAGATCAATACACCATGAACAACAAACTGATCTCATTTCTTCAGAAGCAAAGGAATGTAAGAAACAATGATTTCTACCAAGAGTGTTTTTAATGAGCGCAAACTTACCCCATCCTCTGGTCTGTATTGTGCAATTAAGCTTTCGTACCACTCTGCACTCCCTTTCTGTAGTAATAATGACAGATCAAGGAAAATAACAGGGTAATTTAAGGCACTACAGGGCTCCTCTGTTGTATTTTTACCTGGCTTTGTTTTCCTGGAGGGTTCTTCTCATTTAAACACAAAACTCTGCATCCTTGAAGCCAACAAAACTGAGCACAGTTAAATACAAGACAAAATTCTTTAACCATCTTCCTGTACATAATTTTTCAGTTCACATAAAAAGAAAAAAAAACACCTATCTGATATATTATTGCCCTCTGCCTCCTGCTTCTAATGAGTCAAAAATAAAGACCCTCTTTCAAGAACCTCTTCCAATCTTACCTTGACAGCAGTGGTGATGTCCAAATGCAGCTCATTTCGGAGAGGACATACGGTCTTAAACGCCCGCATGTTTTGTATGTAACCAATCCCCCTGGCATACACAGACATAAACAATGCAATTACAAAAAAAAAATATGCTGCTTTCAAGTCATGTAAATACTATTTTCACATCTTACACACTGCTCCAGAAATGAAATCTAAACTAAACATAATCTGTAAATTCAGTCCGCTTTAATATCGTGCAGGTTCCTGCATTATCTCTGCAGGAGAGGAAAGATGCACTTTTAGCTTTCAGGAGGGTCATAGTGTGTGTAGTGTGTGTCTCAAATGTAGAAAATATCTTTTATGGGGTGTTGATCACTGGGTAGAGCTGAGCTGGTGCCTTCAATAGAAGCTTTCTCTAACACAGTGAGACACGGCAGAATAAAGGTCAGTAATTAGCTGCTTCTGCTGGCTGGTATTTATGTGGAATGGACTTCCTAATTTGGTACATTTTATTATTTATTACCTGCTTTTGAAAATCAGTGAACCCGGCTTAGGTCAGCCTGTCCAACACTTTCAGTTCAGCAAAGCTTGAGTACAGATATCCATTGCTTTCATTGTTCTAATAACAATGTGTCTAAAGGTGGGGTAGGCAGGATCTGAGGAAGTGCCAGTTTTTGGGAGAAATCTTGAATGTAAACACTACCCCTCCCAACGAGTTTTCCCCTCAGCTCCTCCTCTCCCCTCCCTCTCTGCTCCAGCAAGCCCCGCCCACAAACAGACGCCTCTGCTTGCTCGTATCATGTCAATTAAATACAGATATAATGCCGATAAGTACTTAAGATAATTACAAATGGGGCCCAGTCAACATGAAATTATAAAGCATTGGTGCTACTATAGATGCCAACAGACTACCAGAAAACTCAATGTTTGCAGGACTTCTACAACTAGGATAAAGTGACATAGTCCAGGACCCGAGGTAAACAGTTTAGCGTTGCTACAACATGCAGCAGGTCCCGTTTGACAAGAAACACTTCTGTTACAGACACTTGGTTTACTTTGTTAAAGTGGTTTACCTGTCCAGCAGGAAGGTTACAGGGTCCGTAAGTTCCCGAAGTGTCCCCTATCGTTTTCTGTTGACCCGCCTTTTTAGCTCTTGTCGGGTCTACCTCCGTTTTTTGCGCACGTTATTCGGCCAGAGTCGCCTGTATTTACTTTGTTTTCTTTACTTGTGTTGGCAGTCGTGGCTAAAGGAGGATTCAGGCAATTTTCCGTACTTTCTGGTTGGTTTCTACTGTCTGATATTGTAGCGCGCTAACTTCGTTTGGGTTCGTAAACGACACGAGGAAGCAGTGTCTGCCTCACAACCAATCTACTTGGGGGAGGCAGGGAATGGCTTTGTTTACAGTCAGAAAGAGCGGGCTGCTCTGAAATTTTAAAATGTTGACTACACAGACATAAAACACAGCGATATCACATTACCAAATGTCATCAATAACTAATAGCTATTGACTGATATTAAAACATTTTTTGTATATACACCACAAAAAAGATGCTTCTTTAACGGAATCCTGCCTACCCCACCTTTAAAATTAACGCATGGATTTCTATTCTAATCCATGTCTGCAGATGAGAGGGAGAGGCTCACGATTCACCTCACAGGTGTCAAATAAAAGCTCTTGTACAGAATTATTTGTGTCAGGAACTTCTTTTTGGGATGAGTAATGAGCAATGGTTAAGATCTTTCTCTGTGAGTAAGGAACCCGATGCTGCTTCCTTCACAGAGTGTGAAGGCTGGCTGCTCGACATCTATGTGTCTATTGGGGTGAGATGCTGACAGTGTACCGGGTATGGGCGCCACAGGTGACGTGATGTGATGGCAGTGTGACTTTACCTCAGCATGAGCTCGTAGCGTGTAATGGCGGCGGCGCTGGTGCAGGGGAAAACCTGACGCATGTTCTTCATCAGGCACAGGCAGTGCTCTGTGTACAGCCTGAAGCTGTCTGACAGCTGCCTCTCCTGGACACAGGAAGGGCCCTCAGTTATAGCTTCAAGTACACCGGCTGGGAGACATTTTTGGCTGAACCAAAAACCTTAATGTATGTCAGTGAAGAGCTGAGCTAATGAGGTGACTGTTTCCAGATGATGAGAGTTTTTTTTTTGTTTTGTTTTTTTGGCACATGAGCACCTACCAGGTCCCCCCTCACAGCAGCAGGGTCCCACTCTGCATCGATGGTCCTCATGAGGCGCAGCAGCAGGGAGTAGCACACCCTCTGGGTCCTGTGGTGGCTGCTGTAGCACTGCCAGCGACTGTGATTAAAAGCAAAACGTGTCTTTTTATAATCAGATTTTTTAAAAATTTGATTCAATCAATTTGATTCCCCCTCCTTTACTCACATAATGGCCTGCTGCAGAGGTGAGAGATCAGTTTGCACAGCATGATGAGTTAGCACAGTCCATGCTGCGGGGCTAACCTGCCCGTTCCAGTTGTAGGGCTCTCTCTTTAATCATATGAAGCAGATGACTGTGTCAATTTAATTATAACAACAAATGATAGACTTTGAACGTTCTCATAAACCTCTTTTTGTTTGTATTTAACCCTCCTGCTGTGCTATGGTCTGCACCGACCTGTTTTTGTTTTTAAATATTTAAAAGAACCACATAAATAAGCTTTTTCGCACCAAGACTTTTTGACTTTGTCAGGAACCTCTATTTTAACAAAAAGAAAAATTGAAAAATAAATTGACAAAATTATAAAATGCTCTTATCAAAATTATGGCACTTATCATGTTAGGGTCGCTGTTGACCCGGTTAGATTATTATCTAATAATTAGAGCAAAAACCAAAATCATATGTTCACTTTCAAGCACCACCCTGACAGTCAGATCCTCTTCCAATCATGTGAGATTTAGAAAATTCTCATTTTGCCATGTTTTACCATGCACAAAAAACAATGTCGGGCATGTCGAGACATGTGCGATCAGTTCAGTATGGATGTCTGTATGAGGGGTATACTGACAAAGAAAGGCCCAGAGTCCCATGACAACAAGTATTATAAACAATATTGACCTAGAGATGAGAACCAAATTGGATGGTAGAAAAATGTTTTTAGTGTAATTTACAGCTGATTTAACCCTTAACATAGTGGGTGTGTTGTAAAAGCTAACACAGACGGAAGGTTGAATGCCAGAATAGTTAACAGAATACACTTTTTAAAAGTTAGTTTAACATTACAACAGTAAAAGTGGAAGCAAGTCAGCAAGTAAAGAGCTTGTTTATTACAGATCAAGGCTGGGATTAGATGTTTTTGTTTTTGTTTTTCAACTAAAGTGTTTCAGTCCGGCTGCAGAAATATGAAATACTGGTTCAATCAAAGTTATTGATAATAACAGAACATGCACAGTGCACAATAACCTCTTCGTTCTTGAGAATGAGAAATTATTAGCTGATTTGTTCAGTCTTTTCCAGCAATTCATTATTTTCAGGCTGGTATGACTCATGTCTGATTTTCATAAATACACAAAATGTCTTTTCTATGCACCATGTCACTCTTTGGGCAAACCATGACTGGATGCAACAAAATGTTCCCAACCTCATAGAGAAGAGACTGACATAACCTTCAGGTCAAATGAAGTCAGACAGTGTCTCTTTTAATCCGGATTCAGAGTTAAATTTCCTCTGCAATATCAAATCACTGACTTTGTCTGCTTTTTATCATTTCAAGCACATAGAAATGACATTAAACTGAAACCGAAAGGCTCATACATGTCTGCATTTCCAGCTGATTAGATCACTGCATTGGTCTGTTTGATACAGTGGCCCTGATGTGCAAAACACAACAGCAAATCAGAAAACACAACTCAAACAAAGAAAACACAATGGCAAATAAGAAAACAAAATCAGAAAATCCTCTTTTTGTGTTGTGTTTTCTCTTATTTGCCGTTGGGTTTTCTCTCTTTGTGTTGTGTTTTCTTATTTACCGTTGTGTTTTCTGATTTGCCGTTGTATTTTTCTCTTATTTGCCGTTGTGTTTGAACCACTGAAAAATTTTAAAATCCTTACACCAGCTCCCTTTTAATAAGATAATTGTTTTTTGAAGATTAATGCTGTTGTGCTCAAGCCTCTCTGTTGGTCAGTACCTAAATTCATCTCTGTTATGCTGCAAACACGTGAACCATCTCGGACCCTGAGGCCTCTGGGGATGGCGCTCTGGCCTTCACAGGAATTGGAACAAAAAAGTGAGGCAGTGTTTTGTTCTCATGATGCACAAACCTGGAATATTCTCTAAGATCCTGATAGACTCTGACCACCTTGCAATCTAAACTTTGTTACACTGTCGACTCCACCATCTGAACTTCAAACCTGGATCATTTCTATTCTTGCATCATATTATGCACTTCTAAGTAAATTTTAACAAGCGGTTCTAACAAATCTTTTCTTCTTGCTCTTTTGAATTTTTCTCTTATTATGTAAGTGCATGAAATGTGCTGCACAAATAAAGCTGCCTGGCTTTGATCGGCCATTTAAACCCAATTGTTAAGTGATCTGAATTGGCAGCCCTGGGAGGCCATGCTGACAGGTCAATCAACTAATCAATCAACTAAAGAGCTAGCTGATGTTAAAATGATTAAAAAAAGGTTTTAAAAAGCTACTGCATGAGAAAATACTCTCACATTCTCAGGAATTTTTTACAGTATATAACTTTGCATCATAAATGATGGTCACCTTGACATGAGCGTGCTCATATTCTATGATCTGACTCAGCAGTTTCTTGTGAATGGAGACGAATGAGTCCTTCCTGGACAAATCCGTGTCTCTCTGAAAGACAAAACAGCAATATAAGTTGTTATTCACATTTTGCACTGTGTCTCATGTTATTGTTTTGCGGTACAAACCTGGCAGGTGAACAGTTTCAGTATGAGGTGACACTCTCCCTGAACTTTGGACGTACTTGATCGAGGCTCAAGCTTAAACCAGGTGTCATAACCGGCGACTGGTACTTCCTGTGACAAGACAAAATCGCCAGATTCACCATGCTGACATGCTGTCTGGAAATCTCTTACATTCTTTGATTGGTCAGTGTAACTCTGACAGAGTCATAAATGTTGCACTGCTCACATTCAAGGGGATGTTGATACATCCCAAGAAGTCGTCTGCGTTCTCCTCTGATCCTGAGGATGCAGATCCATTTGCACGCACTGACTTTGCAATCTGCTTGAAGTATCTGACATGAAAGCACAGAGAGGAAAAAATGAGTCTCAATTGTCACAGTTTGACTTCATGTTTAATTGTGCTGTGAGAGCTGTTAGCTAACAGTTTTCAGTGGAAAGCTCTTGCTGATGCCTTCTTTCAGAGTGATTTAAGATTACAATAACAGCAGAGTTTCCCCTCACATGGCCATTTACCACATCTTTCAAATGGCACCACGCTTTTGTTCCTCGGCTATGACTGACATTTCCAGGTTTTCATTAAACTTGTCTGCAGTTTATTCTTTCCTCCATGGCTGCAGCTGAATTCTCCATGGGTGCAGTTTTACAAGCATCAGGCTTTCCTGGTTGTAAGTCGTTCTTTCAGGCTCTTAAAGAATATTAGAAACTTTAATATTTCCTAAAAAGCAACAAGCAGGTTGAGACTGATATTTTTCTTCATTTTCTTAAAAAATACATTTAATTTATCGCAGCCTTTGGAAAATATCTTATATAAGATGTCTAGTATTTACACAGATGCCATTATCCTCTTAACTTGCACATATTTAAAGACCCACTCCGATAAAAATCATGTTTTTCTTGTTGTCTACATGTTCATATGGCATTTTTCTGATGCTACAGGACAAATCATGAGAAAACTAAATGCGAAATTGCTTCTCTGAGTATTTCTTCACTCAAATCCCTGTGAATCTCTGGCAGAACCAAACAGCAGGTTCAGAAACAGTGAGGTTTTATACATAACCAATCCAAGCTATGCAAGCCACACTCGGGTTGCAATGCTTGTAAGAAAGCTGATTATGAAATTAGCTTTTATCGTGTTCCTAAAGACATTAGTGTCCGAGAGCCCCTACGTTACCTGCCTCTTCTACTACATCGACAATGTTAGGCTGCAAGCTATCATGAAGACGAGTTTGCAGAGCAGCACTGTCTCCACCTAGACTTAGAGGCAAATTGCTAATGATCTACTGGAGCTCTGTAGAAGAAAAACCCTTGAAAACGACACAGGTAATGTGATTTTTTGGTAATAACTTCATAATCACAATTTAAAGACCACTAAGAACACTTTAAGTAGTTAAAAAAGACGATCAGAGTGGGACTTTAAAGGGTTCAACACTTTCTAAGGGCTCAGAGAAGCCCACCTTCACACTGCTATAATTATGATAATGAAGGATCTATATCGTGATGTCTCTTACCTTCCCATTCCTCGAAGCCCACTGACTTCATTGAGCTTTTTGCAGGCTTCAGCAACAGACACGTCATCATCATGATCCCTGAAGGAGAGCGGAGTAGTCCCATTATCAGTGCATGGCAAACCATATGAAATAAAACTTATTTTGCTGCATATTCTAACACATATTTCATACTGTACTGTAGAGCTGACAGTTATGACTCACCCTAATCATAAAAAACGTGATAATGGAGACTGAACAATATTGTGCCGCCCACTTGCTTTGTCTGACATGATAAATGAAACGCACCCTCCCCTTCTTCCTGTGCTCTGAGTGTGCGCTCTACCCCCTACCCTTACACAGCTCTCACTTTCACTTCACCACAAGCTCAGATTAACGTGCAACAAAGTTTGGGGGCATGAGGAATTTGTAGATTTAATTGTTGACTCATGCATCTTTAACAGAATACAAGATATCATGCGGCTACAGGAAGAGAGAGGGGAGCAGGGGGAGAGGCAAGAGGAGGCAGGTGTGTGAATATGTCCTTGTGTGTCTGAAAAGCCAAGGGACAAAGCAAGTGCCACAACAGAAGTGAATGGGCTAATATTTGCAAGAGCATGTCATAATGAAATATAACTCTCATTCTTGATTCGTCAAAGATGCAAGCCTGAAAAGTCTGGATGATATGTTGGCTCTGCAGTCTGTGATAAAATGTAAGTGGTGGGAGAACTAGAAGTAAAAGTCTGCCAATTTAATTAAATAATTTCATCAAAACTAAATCATAGAATTGAGGCATAGTCCCTTTCAATACTGTTACATACATGTGAATTTTATTTATATTATCACCTGGGATAGACAAGCATGCCATAGTATTCTACAAAAAGATACATCGTGTTTTTTGTCTTCCACTTATTAATGTTCACTTCATAGATACTCGGAGTGTTGAATTTTAAAATACATGTAATGGGGTTGTCAATTCATGAGTAACTGTTTTCAGTAGTAGTGATTTCAATGTCAATAAATGTAATTGTGATTAAAAAAGTAAACCTGTCCAGATCAATATGAATAGATAACAAATTTAAACCAATAAACAGTATTTGTCCATTAAACCTCTGCTTTCTTAGCACACATAAAACTGACTGTACTGGAAGTTTGGGTAAATGGGAAAAAAAAAGTGGAATTTTTTTGTGACAGAAGTCGATGATCTTAAGTGTTATAAATTGACAATAAAAGCTCAGGTCAAAAAAAATCAACATGGCCTGATTATTTTGTGTGTGTTTCATGTGATGCAGCAACCATATTAGAAAAAGCAAAATAACCTGAAATAAAGGCAAGATTTGAGGTGTGTGAATCTCACCATATGTCGAGATGTAAGAGGTCATTGTGAACATCCTCTATTTCACTGTTAAACAAAGGGGAAAATGTTGAGTACAGTTTCATTTACATGAATACAAAATGATGAAAGAAAAAAAAACTTTCAACAATCCTTAATCAGAGACGATAGTTTGCAACACTGCCCACATTACCAATAGCTCTGGACATTGCACCTGTGGGTGTATCACATGTCATTAAGTCAGCTCTTCTGGTAAAAGTCAAACTGCTGTACTCACAACACAAAGTGCTCATCCCACACTGGGTTCAGGGTCTCTGGTTTGACCTCAGTAACCTGGATACACCTGGCAGGTAACACTTCCTTTGTACTGGAACGTTTCTCCAGTTTTTCCTTTCTCTTCCTGAAGCTGAACTTTCTCTCCTTCTTGTCCTCCAGCTCCCTCGGGCTCTGGCCTACCAGGATTCCCAGCATGCAGTAGGGGTCACTGTATCCTAAAAGGCCATGGGACAACACACAGACACAGATTGATTAGACCATGATGGTATAATGTGTAGAGTAATGATAATGAGATTTAGCTTCAGTGCTGTTTTTGAAAGCCTTATTTTTTTTACGTTTCACAGTTAAATAAACAAGGTTATAGCAATTCTCTTACATGGCAATTAAATTCCAAGAGATGGTAAAATAAAATCTCAGCATTTCTACTTAAAGTACTTTTTGACGGAGAAGAGAGTGGCTCTGTAATCTCAAGAATTCAGGTAGAAAAAGGCTCAGGGTCAAAATAACAAGCTTGGTTTTGTCTAAGTATAGTTTAAGGATATTTTAAAACATCTTGGGCTTAGTAATAATCAGACAGTTCTCCAGAGCAACTGTGTGTTTTAACAATACATGACATGATAAACACAGGGGTAGCAAATACAATTATGGAAAGGGTCCAAGTATCGACCCCTGTAGCGTGGTAAGGATTCTTGTTTACAAAATATTTTCTTTTTGATAAATTTATAACCAACATTGGAATCATTGTAAGACTGTCTTTGAGATGTCAACATAACTTCTGAAAGTAGGATTTTGCAAAGGCAGTGTTAAATCATGAAAACCAGGACTGAATGTTCTTCCCTCTCTGCTTAAAGGAGTAAATCAGCTGTAACCCTTTGCAGAGTTGTTTCTGTACTGTGTCTTTGGCAAAAAACACAAAGACATCATAGCCTTTTAGAAATGAAATGAAGCCGGTTAGCAGCTGCTCTTTACAACAGTCTGGAAATAAAAGGGAATGGTAATTGGTATAAAAGTGTTATGATGAGATGAATCAAGACTGAGATTAAGCATATTTGGTCTCTTTTGAAAATAACAATCAGCTGAAATCGCTGTTGAGTTCAAGTTGACAATTTAATGGATTAAATGAAATGGCGGACCTTTATGTGCCTATGGACCTTGAATACATGCACACATTATATGTGGGGGACTATAAAGCATGATGACATTAATTTTTTCTCCTGGAAAAAAAAAAATCACTTACTGAATATTTTACATACCTATTGTACATCAAAAGAAGGTATACACACAAGACTTTCACATCAGTCATGCTGCATCTCCATCTAGCTGATGTACGGGGCTCATTATTTCTGTCTGCAGATTTCATGGAATTTTACCCTTCCTCCTGTGTTAGCTCTTACTACGCACCCACTATGTTTAAGGTCAGTTTCGACCCGTGTCTTAAATCAGCTGCAAATTACACTAAAACAGTTCTCTATCATCAAATTTGGTTCTCATCTCTAGGTTATCTAGTTGGGCTTCATTATCCATGAAAATATTGCTTATAATCTTCTTTGTCATGGTCCTTTCTTTGTCAGTATACCCCTCACATAGACATCTATACTGAATTGATCTCACATGTCTGGACATGCCTGAACATGTTCATGTCTGGAAAGGCAAAATGAAAATTTCCTATAATTCACATGATTGAAAGAGGATCTGACTGTCAGTGTGGTGCCTGACAGTGCGCATATGATTTTATTTTTTGCTTTAATTATTGACTTTTAATCTAACCAGGTCAGCAGCGACCCTAACACGGCAAGTGCCATAATTTTAATCAGAGCATTTTATAATTTAGTCAATTTAATTTTTATTTTGTTGAAGTAGAGGTTCCTGACAAAGTCAAAAAGTCTTGATGCAAAAAAGCTAATTTAAGTGGTTCTTTAAAGCATATAAAAACGAACAAGTCGGTGCAGACCCTCACACAGGAGGAGGGCTAAAGGATATTAATGCATAAAATTCCTCAATATGCTATAAAAAGAACTGCATTGTATAACCACTGCTGGTAAAAAATCCTTTTGATTGAGCCTTCATATTGCTGTGAAGAGCTGAAAAAGATGTGATATGTGATGTGAGTTAAAGGGAGGTGACTCACTTGACAATTTGTCCAGTGTGAACCATGGACAGCTTTAAAATTCCTTCCCTCTGAACATAAAAGGTTATTAAGTGCTTGAGAAGTCTTACCATTTGCATCCTTGGCCATCAGGTTCTTCGCTTTTATGACAGACACTCTCAAAGAAAAAGTGGCTCTCTGTTAAATAAAGAAAAAGGTTTTGCTGTAAATGCAACAATCAAGGTTAGGGTTGCATTTAGCACACTGTACTGTGTTTTGACACTCTTGTATCTGGATTAAATAAAAACCTTGTCCATTGTTGTGTGAGAACATGAAAAATCAATCCCCTTTTGCTTCATCAAGTATCTTTCATGAGTCACAGGCTAAAAAACTCAGTTTTCAACTTCAACCATAAGCAACACCATGAACTATCTTAGTTAAAATGGCCAAATAGATAAGTGGCAGTTATTTATCAGGTATGTTGGAGGTCTCTGGCGGTCAAGTCAAAGCCACAAAATCAGACCAGATCAAGCTTTTAAGAGTTGGAGGTCTTTTATCTCACAGCTCTCCTAAGGCAGCAGCACTCAAGCTGTGACTCTGCAGGTCAGGCTTTCTCCTTATTACTTCTGCACAGCTCATGAGAAAATGTTGGCCAGAGTGCCAAAGATTGACTGATGGCTCTGAATCTGCACTATGTGACAAGTGATAGGATCAATCAGTAATAACTCATACCTTAAAGAATACCACAATTAGATCAGCCGTTAAAGTTTTATTAGGGGTTTTTTAATTTGTTATGAAACTGATTTTCATGATCTACAAAAGCCAATAAGAGCATTAACACCACAATTGTCCATTTCTGTATCACGTTGATGCCTGTAAATGCTTTTAGGGGGTTGGAGTCAGATGAGGTGATTTACATAGCAGCAAAGAAAAAGGCCATTTTCATACCAAAACATGGACAGCCTCAAATCTGCAGAAATGTAATGAAAGGCTACTTCCTGTATGCTGACAAACTTCTGGTGACCCCCTAACAGGTTTCAGGTATCAAAATTTACAATCTAGCCACTGACAGTCTTTCTTATGTCTATGTCGTAGTATGGTATCTAATTCTGGGAATTTTAACTGTTCACCCTGAAATTATTGTAATCAACCAAAAGAACTGACAGAGCAGGAAAAACACATTAATGCTGCATTCCAGTTGTACTCAGAAGTTGGAATTTCCGAGCTCCAAGTCAGAAATTAATCTGGAACGCCCCCCTGAAGTTGGATTTCTGACTCAGAAAGTCGGACGATCCTCACCAACCCAGACTTGACGACAACGTCATAATCCAAGATGGCAGCACAGTGCATCAACAGTAAAGAGTAAAACTATATTATTTATTCGCACTTCTGTTTTGGTTTTGTGAAATTAAATAAGTGGTATCTGTTGTTCTGCCCAACATCTAGCTGTGAACACGGTGCTACGGTGTTTGTAAGAGTAAAATACTGTGTTATGCATTGTTTACAACTGGTATAGCTAACAATGGCTAACAACAGCTGACAATTATTAACAATGGCTACCTGTAGGCGTCCATCTTGGTTTTCCAACTTGTTTAGTGGAACGCTGTCAACTCGGGTGTAACCTCATTCCTAGCTCCGACATTCAACTTAGGAGGTAACTAGATTGCAGCATTAATGTAAGACTTTTCTGCATGCACTCAAAATTGGCCAAAAAAACCTGCCAAAATAAACAGATTAAACTTCCACATACAGAGATACCCTAAAAAGTTAAGTCCATTCATTGTTCTCTATGACTTAACTTCTAACTTTTTGCCAAAAAAGGACTTATACTTCTTACTCATACTGCACGTACTGTTTTAATGTAGCAGGCTCAAGTTATATTCACCAGTTTCTTGAATGTACTCTTCAAATTCAAGGGATTGGTAACAGTTGTTCTATTTTAGGATCCAAAAGAAGATGAGTCACAAACTACAGCTTTCAAAATAAAAAATCATATGAATGAGGAGTGACTCATCAACAAGGTGTCTCACCTTGGATTCTTGAACCTTTTGGAGAATGATGTCATGCTCCTCCTCACCCAGATCAAACACCTCAGAGAGACAATCAGACAGTAGAAAATTAGAATAAAGCATGTTACGAAAAACAAATAGATATTCCAGGTGTTAATAATTGTGTTTTTTTTTTGTCAGGTTCAGAGTCGCTTATGTAGTGCTGAAAGAAAACTGTACAGCTGCTTCTAGCACTTGAAGAAAAGATTAAAAAGGCTCAAACCGTTGGCACGACATCATCTGAATGGATGTAATATCACAGCTGAATATCAGCACACAATGTGACTGGGCTTTGATGTTTAATCAGATTTGAGCCAAGAGCATCTACTCACATTCTTACAGTCTGCTCCCTCCCAACCAATACTGCCACAAATAACACAACAATAACACCTTATATGAGGGGAGCAGCCGTGTTACTAAGAGTTATTTAATAGAGCGCAAAACTAATCAGTTCTTCAGAGCACAGGCAGATACTTTAGATAGATAGATAGATAGATAGATAGATAGATAGATAGATAGATAGATAGATAGATAGATACCTTCAGAAGATAAGCGAACAGCTCTTCGTCACTCTTCACATGTTCAGGTTGAGGCACTCCCACTCGGTTGACCACAGTGTACACAACTTCCTCATAAAGCAGGTCCAGCTACATGAAAACACACTTCACTTAATAACAATCCCTGTGTTTCTTTTCCCTTATGCTTTCTGCTCTGTTGCACATCAAAAGCAGAGATTAGAAATAAATAAATAAATATAAAAAAACACTCTGTTTTTTGTGACTTTAAAAAAAAGAAATGTTCCCTGCTGAAATTGGATGAAAGCAGAGCCAATGCACCTCAGTCCTGCTGATTCTGTCGGGGATGAAAGACTGGTCTACGTGCTCCTGGGGCGGCGGCACGGTGCAGGCCCCTCTCTGGCTCTGTGAGGGGACCAGAAACACTTAATCCAAAACAACAGCTGCCTCTCTCAAGGGTCTGGAGAAAGCAGAGACATCTTAAACTTTGAGTCCAAAACGCAAAAGAAAAATCATTTCTCAGGCAAAGAGGCCCTCGCTCTTACATAACAGTGACATGTGCATTACACTGACCAATGATTAAACATTGTCACCATTGTTACCTGGTACCAAGTACAAATGTGTGCATGAAGACATCACTCTTGTAATGATGTAAAAAGCTATGATTGCCTTGTTGACATGGCAGCAGGAGAAGCTGAACATCACCATCGACAGCAGCTTGTCACGGCGCCCTCCTCCACCCGAACCTTCTGTCTACGAACGTCACACTGGCTACAACAGAAGGCTTGAGCAACAGCACCGAGCACTACTGGCTCCACAAGCATGCTTCAGATGTAGAACAGATGGTGAGGTGGAAGGTGAGTGGAGGGGTTTTTACCTCAGCCTGGGCAGCCCGCAGCATGTTCTCCTGTTTCTGTAGGATAGCATTCACGCGCTCAAAGAACTCCACGCTCTCCTCAGAAACCCTGACGAGACGGAGAAACAGATTGACAACTCATCAAAAATTGGCATGAAAATATTCAGAATAAACAGCCAGATTATTGGTTAAGTCTAGGCGATCTTGAGCTCATTGTTTTTAGGCATTCAGTTCAAGAAGACAGGAGATAATCTGGAGGGAAATCTGGCCTTGACCAGAATCGCAACATACCGGATTTTATAAACCATTCAGCAAACAATGGCTAATGTTAGCAGTTAGCCACTTTCTGTGAAACGTAAATTTCTTGCTTGTTGAAGTGTAGGCCATCTTCAGCTCATTGCTCATTGTTTTAAGGCATCCAGTTCAACAAGACAGGAGAAGATCTGGAGGGAAATCTGGCCTTGTTGAGAATCGCAATATACTGTATTTCGTAAGACATTCTTCAAAAGACAGCTAACGTTAGCAGTTAGCTACTTTCTGTGAAACGTGAATTTCTCGCTTGTTTAAGTGTAGGCCATCTTGAACAAGACAGGAGAAAATCTGGAGCTAAATCTGGCCTTGTTGAGAATCGCAACATACTGTATTTTATAAGCCATTTGTCAAACAAGAGCTAACATTAACAGTTAGCCACTTTCTATGAAACGTGTGAATTTCTTGCTGATTTTATTTGAGCTTCTTAGTGTTTTAACGCTCACATTAGCTGCTGACCTTTTTGTTTTGAAAGACTGCTCAGCAGCCCTTAAATGCCACAAAAATCATCTCTTCAGTGGCTCATCAGTTGAGAAACTGCCAAAAAAACTGTTCACAGATACTCGAAATAAATCAAACGGCAAACTGAAACTCAGCAGTTTAATATTAAGTTAGCATTTGTGCCCTCCACCCTCAGCTTGACTTTATACCAAACTGTTCCCAGTGTGATTATGATGACCTGAGTTGCATTGGCCAGATCCCACTTCATCTAGTTTGCAAATAAAGACAATCTGTTCCCATCTAATGCTGACTTATTGGGCCCCATTGCCTGGCATCTTATTAGCAATCACATGCTGTTTTATGGTACTAAAAAGCAAAGCTTGGGTTAGACCAAAGCTCTCAGCAAAGCAACATGTCTGCACTCTGCATGGAGCGTGTTAATCGACTATGATGAGCTGAGCTTCGTGCAAAAAATGCAGATGATGTTTTCTGTTTTCCTCCAGGTGTGAGTGAATCCCCCGAACTCCTGCCAGCCTCAGTTGTCATGGTGATACATGGCACATTCTGGGGTGAGGGGAGTGGGGGTTGGTGGGGAAACTGGTTTGAACACCTTGGGGATCCCCTTCACTTCTCAACCCCTTCACCCCCTCCCGCCCCCTTCCAAATCTCTCAGCGGGCATCTTCCTCCTGGCCTGTATGGAAATCAGTAGAGCAGACAGCAGCTCTGATGTGAGCTGTAGCGGAGCCGTCGGAAACAGCCATGCTGTCTGCCTGTAACTCCTCGACAACCCCCTCAGCACCTCCCAGCTTCCGTCTTCTTCCTCGTCTCCCAGCCATCCCCTGTCACATTATGCAGAAGAGCCATCCACAGAGACCCCCGTCACGCTCCTTTATTAGTGTCATCCCTTCGCAGCAGGCGTGTGGCAGCCCATCCCAGCACCCACTGACTCTCACCATGGTAGGAGAGCCGAAGTCAAACCCCTGAGGTATTGATGAGGACTAATGGCAGCTGTGCTGGGCAATTTGGTTAGTTTTACTACCGTATCAAACCAAGCGCATCTTGAAAGGTAGATGTATTCATAGAACAAATTGTTGGACTCTCTAATCAGCACCAGGGTTGATGTAAATTAGAGTTTACCCTTCAAAAAAGGGTCGCCTCTAAAATATGGAACAATATTAAACAACCACAATGGTCTTCATGGTGAACAAAACAAGTCTAAAAGTGAAGCTGCTGCTGACAATTATCTAAATGCCTTTTAATTCTTTGATACTGTATAATGCATTACATTATTATAAAAAATGACACAATAATAACAATAACTACAATACATGATGACAGCAATAATTGATACCATATCATACAAGACATATTAAAACACAATTTGATACAATAGGGTATCAAACCAACCATGCAAAATGATACAACATGAATAAAATTAAATTTTATACTAAGAAAAACACAGTATGTTTAATTATGTACAGTGCAAGACAAAGAAATATACCACAGCATATGAAAATACAGTGTGAAACAACACAGTATGTTAACATATACTGTTGCATTATGTTACAGTGAAATACCATACCAAACAATTTAATACAACACAGTAGGTTGTAAAGTGATATGGTACATTTCATTATGATTTAACATGTTTCAACATGAACTGCATGATCTATATGATACAAGATTCAATATGATATTAAACAAAGTAATAGTATACTCTTTTTAGTATACTATAGACTTTTCTTTACCCTTCAATACTATACTATACCACACCACACCTCAACTACGTATACTTAACTATACTTTACCATACCATACAATACTATACTACAGTATACTATAACATATTGTGGAATGTTTTGCAATACTACACGAAACCATATTATACAATATTATACTGTATTTTACTTTACCACACTATACTATATCATACAACACCTCACCTCATTGTTTTTTTATACTTAACTATGCTATACTTTACCATACCACATAATACTATCCTACAGTATACTATACCATATTATGGAATGTTTTGCAATTATACGCTAAACTATATTATACAAAATTATTCTGTATTTTACTTTACCACACTATACTATATCATACAACATCACATCTTACCATTCTATACTTAACTTTGCTATACTATACCACACAATACTAAACTACTATACTATACCACATTTTACAATACAGTATACACTTAATCATGCTATAAACTTAACCCTCAATACTTTACAACACTATACTACTATACATGCTTTACTATGTTTTACTACACCACAGTATACTATATCATACTAATATGCTATACTATGCTATTGCTACACTTTGCCATGCTACACTGTATTTTTATTAAAATGCAGTCCCACTGAGCAATAGATGGCTATTAGACATCTAGTTTTTATTAGACCTAAATTAAACCGTCTAGACTCTGTATATGTTTCGATGGAATTTACACGGTGCACTTTAACCCATTATTTGATAACTATTTATTTTAAAAAAGCAACTGTGAGTTGCATAACTGATCCCCAAGTACTTAACTAAAATAATTATGATAGCAATTGAGCAATATACAATGTAGACCTCTGTTAGCCAGCTAGTCTAAACTTGGTCTAAATGTAGACGTCTAAAAAACATTTTTAGACCTGTGGTAGCCTGATTTTAGACCAGTCATCTAGGCTACATTCAGACATCCATTACACCTCTTTTAGACCAAAAAATCTCAGTGGTGTATAATACAATAAAGAACAATATCCTGTGGTACGATACAAAGAGATACCATACAGAACAGAGCTGACTGAGCAATTTGTCAGACTTGATAAATTATCACCCAAAAATAATCACTCCTATCCCTGAGATTATCAATATAGAAAAATATTGAGTAATTTATCATAAAACACAGTGGATACAATAAATTACACCATTTTTAAAGTCTTTAACTAGAATTAGCATATTCTGTTTTTTATTTTATTGTTAAAACTACTAAATCGTTGTCTGTTCATCAGCTGGTCCATGTCTCAAGTGTAGTTTCTGTGTTTATCTACAAAGATGGATTTTGTAGCAAAGAAGGGCTTATGCTTTTAGCCTCACTGTCACGTTTGTTGATTAGCCAGTTCGAGATCAAATTTGAGCTGTTAATATTATCTGACACAGTCTATCAGTCAGTTTTGGACAGCTTGAAACCCAAACCAAGTCTACAATCTTTGAATGACTCCACAAACACAGCTTGTTTCTCTGACAAGACATGGGAGGCTTTGTTTTCCGGAGCTTACAGTTTTCATTTGCGCGAACACTACAAATAAGCCTCATTTGATTGTGATACTTGTGAGACTCTCAATTCTCTCCACATCCATTTTCAATCACCCAGGGCTTTCTCATATCCAGAAATCTGTCTCCTCTTCTGTCAGTCACACAGCTTGAGGATTTGTCCAGACAGTCTGGGAGCTTTTTGCTTTGAGCTTTGGGACGACGTTTATGAGCAGAATTAAATTCCCCAAAAGATGCAAATCAAGTCAACTCTGATTAGCTACATCTGAAAACAAAAAACGATTCTGATATCTTTTAACCTTTCCCTGTTCTTTTGAACACACGCTCGCAAACACACACTCGAGCGTCGGTTGAACAACAAACTGATTCGATGTTGCTAGGGAACAGGTCCTGTTTTATACTGTCATTTTATTCTAATTTATTTTCAGAATTCATTCAATTGCAATTTCCTGTCTGGGGAGTAAATCAGATGGAAAACATAAATAACAGCATGAACACTCTGAGCTTCTTCTATCTGCCAGAATATGTGTTTAAACATGACTAATTGGGGAGTGTGAAGGTTACAGCAGCCCACACTTCATACTTCAATATAATATGGCAGTGCATACATGGTAATTATTAGTGCAGACATCACTGTTGTCTGCGGCATGAAAGCCAAAGTGACATCTATGCATTCTAATAAAATGAGATGCCTTTTTAATCACATTCATGATGCTTGTCTGGGCATAAAATCAGCCCGTGGCTGCTATCAAAAACAAGAATCCCCCCTCCTTAACACTACACACACCACTGTTTGTTTTATTACACATTTGATTAGCAGCAAAACATTACAGGTGAGAAGACTCTAATGTGGAGATACGTTTGCAACAGCTATGATACAATCTTTTGACTCAATAACCTGTGAAACAGCAGTCTCCCAGCTACAACAGATGGTAGACAGAGCAGCAGCCTGGTGTCAAATGACTTCTACATCGGGTCTTCTCGGGGGCTTCACAATTGTGTTTCACAGTTTTTGCTTCCTCACAGTGCGGGTCAATAGCTGACAGAGGCTTTAATAAAAAAGGAAAGGGCAACTCTAACACTCTAAAGCCCTAATATGATTACTGCGCAGAAGACAGATAATGTCCAGGCAGAGAATTTCTGATTTATATCTCATATTTTTTATTTGGTTAGAGAATTCATATTAGCCCCAGTGTAAGGGAATTGCTTCTGACAGTGTTGTGTTATAAAGTGAAAGTCACAGCAGCATTGTGTGGGGTATTCCTACCTCAGGGAATAAAACATGTCTACTAACAATTAATACAACTGCATGTGTCGGGAGTTCTCTTTTAGAGGGACAGGGTTAATAAAATAACAATGAACAATGATCTGATCCAAGAATTGTCTCCGCAACCAAAGCCCAAGGTACTGTACGCCCTTGTGCTCCATGGTTGTACAAAATCGATTGAAATGACATATATGATCAATACTATTCTTCTCAGAGGCATTTCCCTCCAGTGTAACAAACCTGTCACTCATGCACCCTCAACGAGAGCTCACATAGATCTTGACCCCTTAACAGAGGGGTCAGGTACCAACCAATGGGTCAATGTGTAAATCCGATGAGGATGTGAGGTGATAAATGGAGGCAGTATTACTTGGCCTGAGGCTAGCAAGCTAGCTAACAACAACACTGGCAAGGTAATATTAGCTACTATAGTGGCTTACCCACTTGGTTGGAGATGTTTAGATTGTTGAAATTCAGGTGGGCTGCAGGTATTTTTGAGTTTAACAGAAACCTCAAGTGAGTGGGTCTCCTCATTGAGATATGGTGCACATTTATGCAGGATTCACAGCCCTGTAACTTTACTGGTACTTAAAATGTTCCCACATACCAACAGGAACCAACAGAATCAAATCTTAATAAATGCAGTGGGTTTTCAAAATGTCCAGAAGGTAAGCAGTCTGGACTGAAGAAGAGAAAGAGTGGATAAAAGACAAGCTAATGCAGAAATGTAGTTTTTCTTCAGCATTTCTTTGTGTGTTTTGCTAATTATTTGTTAGTTTCTGACTTAAAGTTTCTGAAATTGGCAGAATGTGAGATGACTATCCCACAAAAGAAGACATTACAGGTAGGTCTGTTATTTCATCTGACAGAATCTGCCAGGTATGTAGATGCAAATCAAATCCACAACTAAAAATTGTCCACAACAAATATGATTATTCTTTAAAGAAATTTTTGCTCACAACTGATTATTTTACTTTTCTAAAGAATTACGTAGATTTTTATGGAGCAAAATCCTACAGAAAAAGTTTTTTAAAGATGCACTTGTTATTTCGTTTTCATAGAACGCATCCACAATGTACTCATTTAAAAAATAGCTTCAGTCTTTAAATATGAAGCATGTTGATCATTAATTTCCATAATTGCATGACTCTTCAGGTCTCGTTTCATCGCACACTGAATAGATTGTGTTAGTCTCAATTGGTTTAAAAATGAGAACTTAATAAAGTGACACTGAGGAGTCAAATTCATTAATGCCAACACAGCCAGCGCACATTTGAAACCACTGTGGAGACTGGCCCTGTTGACGGGAAGGGAAATAACAAACAATAATAAGTGCAAAATGCAAATTTAATTATAAGTCCCCAAGGGTTTGTACTGCGTAACACGCGGTCAAGCTCATCTCAGTGTCTTCATCACTGCAACCAGCTCACACTGAGGTAAAAGCATCATTTACTCGACTTAATTAAAGGTTCATCTCAAATATGCCGTAACTGATCAGTGGAGAGCGCTTCTGGGTCAACAACTAGGGACGGAGCAGCCCAAATCCACCTGGCCTCATTTGCAAATTCTAAATTAAAGTGAGGGTTCACGCAGGCCAGCAACAGCAGCAGCAGCAGCGGCAGCAGAGGAGTGAACAGAAAACAAAGATCAACAGCCTGCTTCTAATGATGAGCACTCCGGGTGTGCGCCCGTCTCAGCGGGCGGCTGTAACACCAGGGTGCTGCCATGGGAAATGAGGGAGAGGTGAGATACTGACGGATCGGATCGCTCTTTAATGAATGACACAGATATGATGTCACAGGAACACACATTGGATGAAAGAGATTTAAAAATATAAACAAGCTGATTTAACAAGACAGAAACACAGCATGAACACAGACATGTTGAGGATGTTAAAATCTTTAGAAGACACAAATCCAAATTTGGTCAGTGTTCAAAACAACATCTGAGGTTATCTTCCATGTTAAAAATAGACTTGGTCGTCATTATGAGTATAAGTTCACACAGTGGCAGCAGCCAGTGTTTAGGTTGCTATAGAAACCTCAGGTTCATACTATTACTTCTGACTTCAGATGGAGCTTCAAAACAAGTCTCAAAAAAACCTGATTTCACCTGTGCTACTTGGTTAGCTGCTATGAAGCTGGAAAAAATAAATAAATAAAAAAAAATAAAACATAAAGGAGAGTAATAAAAAAAAGACAACACATATGGACACGTTTCAAAAGTTGAAAGCAGGAGAGAAAGGAACAAAGCTGGACAAGAACAGACAAACACAAGATTCAAATCCACAAAGACTCTCTTTATTCTCCACATCAAACAAATCACAGCATAACATATGCACAGACATACAAACAGTACATACCAGTACATTATAGAAGACAATGACAGAGGCACAAATACAAACATAAATATTAACAATATTTACATAAACAATGGGACAAATCAGCACATAACCAACAGACCAAACAGTGAGGAATAGAGAAAAAGAAAAAAAATGCTATTTTCTAGAAACCCAGAAAAGAGAAAAACATCTGGAGTCAACTAACTGTGAACAATTAAAAAAAATAATTACAGTTTAAATATTTATTTATTTAAGGAGTGTAAACTTGACATGCTCATTGAGGTTGTATTTTGTTATCTGGAGAGCATATTTAGAAGATTGAAATGACATTTGTCCAGTGTTTCTTTATATAATGAATCATACTGAGGTCTTTCAGAACACTATCACCCAGTATTTCAGTATTTCATAACCAACTGTACAGGAACTTACCGAAAATCTATGTATCTTTATAAATAATACAGTCTCCTCTATGTCTCCTTAAATATCTATCGCTATGCAGATGACACAATTCTGTATCTTAAACTTTGATTTCACAGCTTTTTCTTCAGGATGCACTTAAAAGCTTTAAGTAGTTCTTAAAGGTAATTTCTGAAATGCTAAAACTAAAAACATGCTTTTTTCCAGGTCAAGCAGCTGTCAAAAAAGAGCAGTTATTTTGAAAGGGTTAGTGTACAAATATCGTAAATGTTTGGCTCCATAAATCTTATTAATACAAACCCCATGCTGAGAATCTCATCAGTAAACCTCGGCAAAACTTGGGTTTCTATCAAGCAGAGATCTTGAAATATGAAGCCAAAGGGAGAGCAAAAACTGCCATTTCCTCAGTGTCCACCTGAGGCTGGCAGCAAAAGCCACCAATAGGTCCTGTGTTGAATGCAGATCTTTACAGTGAAATGAAACATGGGTTTGAAGCTCATTCAGTTACTCCTACATGCTGTGAAGATAACACCAAGGGTAGAGACTTACACATAAACATTCATAATGCAGGGCACAGCTGTGTTGACAAACAGAAAGAGATGCTGTGTTTAGCCCAACCGAAAACTAGACAGGGTTGGCATTTTCAATATGGTGGCTTCAAAACATCTCCCCAGAGTCTAATGGCTGGTATCATTAAGACCAGGTCCATGTTCTTCACAGTCTGTGGCTTCTTTACTGAAACTTCCTTTTCAACTGTAGGAAATACATTTTTACTTTCAGCGTTATTGTGATTTTATCTACAGACATGCTGCTGCTTTCATTCTCTCCCTTTCATTATCTCAAACCATTTCATCTCAGTGAAAAGGTGTTTACGCTGAGCATCGCTGTTTTTGCTTTGTTTTCACGGTGGCGGATTTTTTTTTTTATATCCCCACATATTGTAAATAAACCATGATGATTTTCTAGGTTTGAATTAAGTTTTTGATTATTGCGTTTTTCTTTTATCCAGCCAAACTCATATTTCTTTTCAATGGTGAGGAAGAAGAGCAGAACCAAAGGAAATTTATATCATGCTATATTTTTGAGGAATGAAATGAAGACCTATCTACCGAAGTGTTTCACTCTTCATTCCCATCTTGCAGCTATTTATATATATATATATATATATGGAGTGTTTTAAATGCTTCAAATATTGCCTTTTGTGCAGGTGACAAGATACATAAATACATCTATTAAAACAAATACATGTACACACACATCTTAACTTAAAAACATAAAACTGTCATGATTGTTTCGACACGAAACACACATCCGTAACCCCAAGTTATTTAGCTTTCTAGCTTTATGATGCACCAAAAAAAAAAAAAAAAGCTTTACATTCAGGTCACTACAAGGTGCGATGTGGCACTTATGAAGGAGACATGAGGAGCAAACTGATGTACAAGAAAGCAGCATTTGTGATCCCACTCAGAACCTGACTGTGCATGTAATAGTGAGGCTGATGTGTCCTTTGGGGGGCGAGGCAGCTTGTGCACGGCCGGCTCACAGGGAGTCACAACTCTGGAATAAAATGCCAACCACATTAAAACACCTTGTTGACAAGAAATGATGACCTGTGGCTTCAGATGGACAGCCGGTGGAAAACAAATGAGAAAAAGACATTAATTATTGCTTGGGTTGCTGTATTCCCACTGGTTGTCATTATCTTTCTGCAGCTACACTCCTGCACCTTTTATTAAAGCCAAACTTGTTTGGAACTGTAACAATAAGCACATATTAACTCTAGCTGGGAACTATTTTTCGTGGTGTATTAGCGTCTTGTCTCTTGCTTTGTGCTCAAGCAAGGCTTAATTTGTGTCTGGCGGACAATCAATAAGCAGAGACTGCAAAACAATGCAAATTACACAATCATAGATTGATTGTTTCCACACCCAGGGAAAAAGCACAGACTAAAATTCAGCTGAACTCCAGCTACTTCAATTTGTGTGTAATTGTGTAAAAGTGAGCCTCAGTGACTCACCTGCGAGGTAGGGGCTCAGGACAGTGTGTGAGGGGGCTGCTGGGAGTGGGCGGAGCCTCCCTTCGGCTCCTCAGCGACTGGCTCCTCTGCACCTGTCTCAGCACACTACTCTTCAGGTCCAGCAGCGTCGTCATGATGTTTCACTGTCAGAACACACACAGACATCAAAAACTGTAACTCAACCTAATTAAATTTGGTAAGGTATGCAAATTGTGGTCTAAAAAGCTGCATGATCACCCCCACTCTCTGTCTACTGAAATAATACTTCCAGGCAGACGGTGTGCTCTATTTCTGTCTGATACGGCAGGATGTGCGAGATATATCTCAGCTTCAGGTTTGGTCAGTTAAGCGTTAAGTCCTAATTTTCGGACCAATCATGGGAAAAATAAATAAATTATTCAGTGTGTGCGCAGCTGAAGGCCACAACTCCTGCAAAATCAATCCACCATCACCATAGTATTCAACTCACTTCTGTACTTGTGATCACTGGCCTTCAAAGTAAAAGAAAACTTTCTGGTATATCTTTTTTGCAGAGACTCTCTGCTCCATAGTAAATTTACTTTGGACCCTGATGAACTTGTTTTTATTTATCTAAACAGTAATGGGTGATCAACTCTGTCAAATCACAGGTCATCTGTGATTTGACATAACTGCTGGTGGGTAGGGCTGGGCGATGAAATGATACAGATATATATTGAATATTAATTTCCCCTCAATATGGATATATAACATGCTTTTTGATAGTCCACATCCTGCCATGTTGGTGGTGTGGAGGTATTTTGTTTTTTTGAGGTCGGACATGAAGTAGAGTAAGGTGCACTGCAAATTCTGTCGAGTACATGTTCTCGCAAAGTTGGGGAGTACCTCAAATCCTTTACATCACCTGAAGCAGTGCCAAACGGCAGAGCATGTGCCATGCAAAATGTTACAAACCCCTGGCGGAGCAAGGAGCCCATTGCGCTTGTGCAGTCAAAACAGCTTACCATTCCGCTTTCTGAAGCGCAACACTATGCGACAAAACGTCAAGGAGACAGAAAGACCTCACAGAAGCAGTAGCTTATTGTATTGCAAAAGACATGCAACCAATAAGCACTGTTAAATTTCATTTAAGAGTAACAGGGAACATTTAACATTGACAAGTGATTTTTTTTTTTTCTTGTGATACATATCGATATTGACTGACATGAAAAAAAAATATTGTGATAATTTTTTTTCCCATATTGCCCAGCCCTACTGGTGGAGCAGCTTTTTGCCTTCATGGGGACATAATCATGGTGGTGTATACAACTTTGTAGTATGACAACAGCTGGAGAAGCTTCTACAGAGAGGATGTTGGTTTGTAAGCTGGGGACTGAACAGACAGAAGCTGAAAAGAAGGTTTGTGAAGACACCAGCTGAAATAAATGGAGTCTACTGAGCTGCAAATTATGTAAAGCTTTTGTAGAAGTATCAGCAGGACAGACTAAAGCCCAAAAATGGTGGCTCTAAAGTAAAATAAAAAGTCTTTGTTGAGTGCTGTCTGGATTGAAAAGGCTTCTCATTTAGAGTGTCCGATAGTTTTACTGGCTGCAGATGGTGGATCCACACTAGGGATGGGCGATAAATTATTGTTCGCGATATATTGTCAGAAAAATCCTCCATGATAAATATTTGCCATCTCATGATAAATTCCATAAATGCAAGTTAATTGCAGCCATGGCCCACACAGAGAAGAATAACAAACAAACGTGGCCGAATTCAAGATTCAAGATTGGGGCTTAGATGAGGGCAATCATGTATGCCTGACATCAGACAGCGAATCTGCTGCTGTTCACTCTGTGCAATAGGAGTTTTCAATAAATGTTGAAAATGTTTCCACATGTAGGATTTCTTTGATGTCATTAGTTTTCTCCATAACCTACCACTCAAACTTGTGGTTATGTGTCTTATTTGACTACTCCAACTGGCGTTCTCAAGACAAAATGGGTCAAAAATATAGACTTGAATTATATATATATATTTTTTATGCAGACTTTTATTGTTATTGCCATCCCATCCCTAATCCACACCTCAAAATAATCAAAGTTGCCATAGGCTGAGCTATGCTGCTGAAGTGGTCCCTAGCAGGACTACGACATAAGCTCCACTTGACATTGGAGAACTTCACAGCTGCATAGAAACCGCATGTTGTAGACTTAGCTGACGCAATCAGAGCTGTCAAGCAGGAAGACGGCTCAAACTTCATCCCCTCTGAGAGACAAACATACAGGTCTTCTCAAAAGTTATCGCCCAGATTTTATGACAATTCTGACTTTTGTGGGAGTTTCTCTAATGAAACCTCTGAGAGTGAGCTCTGCCATGAATCTGCAGCTTTTATTGGCCTTTTATTAAGAGTTAATCTTTTCAATTTCCACTAAAAGAAGGCTGTCTGTGAATACCTGAAGTTCAATATCAGAGTCTGAAATAAAAACCCTCACAGGAGATTACATTTATTAGCTACTTCAATTTCAAGTACAATAAAAAGAGTTCAAGCTACTGTGGCTACAATGCTGTTTGCAGAGGGAGATATACTTCGTGAGAGTATTTGTTTTAAACAGAATAAAGGTTGGAATGTGTTTATTGTATACATGTCAGTTAGTTGCTACAGGAAAACACTAAGACATGTTCACACATCTGCCTAACAACTGAGGAGGAGAGAGAGCCAACAAATCAAAGAAACGCCCTAACAGCATCCAATCACTTGTGTCCCTGTGTGTCCAATTTACTGCATTTGACTGGGATGTGAGGTCCCTGTAAGCTTTGAGACCGGCTTCACCTGGGAGTCTTTTGTTAGCCTCTGAAAGTCAGTGTGCGTATGAACAGGAGTGAAGACGAGAGAGAGACAGACACCAAAAAGTAACAAAGAATGACAAGGACACAAGAGAGCGAGTTTGATTGATGGAGAGGAGTCGTTTCAGACAGTCAGACTCTCCTTTCAGAGGTTGACAGCCAGTGTCTCTACATTCGAGGGAATAAGGAGCAATGAACCGCAGGCTGGGAGCTTGTTCTGATTTTCCAGCTAGCAGAGACACAATGGCATAGCTGCTGTAATAGAGGACAATTAGCTGAGTTTGCTTGTGGACAGATATTCTGAGAGACCAGACTGCCTTTTTGATTTTTACAAGCAATCTTTCTTTTTTGCTCTCTCTTGCTCTCTCTCTCTCTTGGATGGCAATGCTGAAGGTTGCCAGTTTGGAATTACACTGCTTACACCAAATGGATCCAGAAAATGAAACATATTTGCCTGGATGACTGCTATCACTCGGGCCATCCATCAGAGCTCCAGGCCAATTGTGCAAAGTGCAGCGTGCAGCCGGCTCTCTTTTTTTTCTGAGTAGCCAGAAATTCACAGTACAGTGCCGCTGAGCCAAAGGACAGTATGCCATTGATCCAGGAAGCTGACACCTGTTATCCACCTCGAGTTTCCACACTTAACTCGATTAGACTGAAGAGTCAATACTCCAGCTCGGTCCGATATTATCAATGTGTCATTTCCAGTGGATGACAGGCAGAAACCGTCAAACCCCTTCACCCCAACCTCTTTCTTCACATCCAATGTTTTTCCAACATGACCCGCGGTATTAGAAGTTGATTTTCTGTCAAAGTCAGTTCTAGTCTACATAAGTTATCCACAGAGCAATAGGTCTGCTTAAGCCACTGCAAGGTGATGGATGAACATTTGATGGATCTATTCTTGCCTGCTCCTCAAATGTCAGAGTCAACAGCCTCTCACTCTTTGAGTCTGACCGCAGCTCAGAGTTGTTGATGTGTTCTGCTGTCAGTCCACGAAGCAGCTGCACAGGAAATTTACATGAACATGACGAGAAAATGGGTAAGATTGGCGAAACAGCGGGATTAAAGGGAACAAGTGAGGAGATTAGGGTTCTCAATTATGACGTGACTCAATAACCCAAGTGTCCTAAAGACGTCGAAGCAGCAGCGTTAAGCATAATTTATATTAAGATGCCAACTTTGAACAGCTGGGCACCATTAACGGTCATAAATGGTGCAAGAATGATTCAACTGAGTCAACCAACATTAAATCTTGGACAGATGTCATTGTTGGTAAGTGGCTGTTTGCGTCATTACACTTTTTTTTTTTCATTATATGAGCAATTTTTTTTTTTCTGGAGCCAAGTTGCTGCGAGGACCATCTCGCATCCTTACCCTCTCAGCCTGTGAAAAACAGCGATCGGTAAACAGCCACAAGACACGGCTAATGGCAGCACTGATGCAACACTATCCTATCTCAAACCATTATAAACTCCAGGGGTATTTCAACCTTGTTGCTGCAAAGAAAGGGCTGGTTACATATTGGTAAAGAGGACCTTGTTTGAAGCGAATTTTCACTCATTTGCAGCACACTTCCACGATTCTGTTCATTTCGGACTCACGTGCATGTGTCATTTCTGCATTTGCATCACATTTCTCCTTCGCCCTTGTTGGCCATCATAGAAGAGGCCATTTTTAGCCAATATTTCAAAGTAGAAGTGGTTCATTTCTCACGATTAATTCAGATTCAGTGCTGTGTTCCAGTGGTGTAGGGGCCCCAGGTTAATACCAAACATGTCCAGATTTCTCTTGTCACTGAACATCCCAGACTTTGACAGGGGATGTTCACTGTTTCATCTTGAAGACTTCTATTACACTCTAGTGCTGACAACACTAACAGGTTGTTCAGCTGAAATACCTGGGGCATGATGTCTCTCTGGGTGGAAAACGGCTCAATTGTTTCTCATATTTCCAGTGCGGTGTCACAGAAAATAAAACTGCCCTGTCTTCATATCAAATCTTCTACATGTAGGCAGGTGAGCATAGACCAGTGTTGACGATTTGTCTCCCAGGTGAACCCATTTCATCTGGATTCAGCTGGATTTCATTTCACTCCATCTCAGTGATCAACCTGTAGTGACAGAACCGGTGGACATGCCACCGTCGATGCAGCTGTCAGCTGCTGAGGAAACACTATCAAAGCCAAGTAAATGCCTATCTGGATACATCCTAGCCAAAGTCGTGCCAGGGAGACACTTGCTCACCAGTGTCTCTCCTGTGAGAGCCAATGAGCCCGGCAGCCACAGGCGCCTTGCTGATAGGGATGAAGTGTCTCTATGGTAACGGCAAGGGAAAAGGAGCTGGTAAATACAGGTAAATGGAATTCAACAAAGGCTGGGGGAAAAAAAGACCCCCCATGTTATAACATGTTCATCTTAATGCAGCAAAACAGCGAGAGCCTTATAAAACACAGGGTTCATGGTGACAAGTCGAACACTCACAACAGGTCACTGCTGTGTGACTCCTAACCCTAACTGCTGTGTTCAGGTGCCATTAAAACACACCCCTAAGATTCATGGGTAATATCCATGTTCTTACCTTTTATCCCTATCCCTGCGGCTTAATGAGTTCATTCTTCAGACAGAAGAGGGCTAAAGACACAGCTGCAGGATGATAAAGAACCCAGGTTTACAATGTGTTCTGCAGCGGTCCTTTATTAGCAGCTCCAGTGTGACACTTAAAGATTACTCCTTGTACGGTTTTCAGCAAAACACCTTTCTGAGGCTTTACTCCTTTGCTATGAGGCAGTTTCCCTCAAGTGCCTGTCTTTGCATGAAGACTTCCTACTTAAGAGTGTTGTTCAGCGTGTCAAATGAAGCAGGAGGAAGAAAAAAAAAAGAGAGACAGAGCCAGACAGGGATGAAAGATGGGTGTTGATTGTGATTTTCTTCAATGTTTTTCCAATAAATATCATCTCTAGATACAAAAATTTGGCATGCGTGGGCAGGGGTCTGTTTTTTGTAGTTTGAACAGTATTGATCAATCATGAATCATTAGGGTTTTGGTTTGCAGAAAAACAGAAGTAATAAGAATTTAACCTGCTACAACAACATTTCAACTCACATCAGGATTTCATCTGACAACCATTTTGTTTATCTGCATAAAAAGATATCTGCATGCAACAACATAAACTAAATTTCAACTTGATCGACATGCTTCTAGACGGTCAGTCAGTGTTGAGATTCTGGGACTTTCTGGAGAGAACCAGAAATAACTCATCTGATGTCTTGTCGTACTTTAGACATACCAACTCACGGTGAAATCTACTCACCTCGTGAGACCAGCAGGTTTCTATTTGATAAACTCAATGTATGTATATGACGAATACTAAGCACTCCGTTTACATGAAGCTCTAAAAAATATATTGACTGCCTTAGCACAAGTGAAACATATTAGTCGGACTAAGAAAAAAAGACTAAATCAAACTTTTCATAGTCAGAACCATATACCTGGAAGATGCAGTTTAGAATTGATTTTCTTATCTAGCTAGATACGGTCCAATTGGACTGAAACTGGCCTACATGCCCTGCACATGTTCCAAAGTTTGCACACCAGGCTATGAGCTGGGAAGCAGGGTAGTAAATAAAATGTTGAGAAAGTAAAGGATGTTAAAAATACAGGCCTGTAAAAGTGACAATATTTTGATATATTATACGTCAACCAGGAGAAAAACTAATAGTAATGAGCTGAAGGGGGGGCATGTCACCACTTGCGGTAGCAGAGGTGGAGATGCTTATGTCAATAAGTTGATTTCTCCCAGGTGCTTGTAAACTGGGACAAGGACAGTAGCCCAGTTAAATCAATGGAGCTATGACTAAAGCTCCACTTAACTGAGCATCTAAATGAACTGAATGTATATTCAGAGACTTCTAATTTGAGTGAAATAAATTATTCCTGTCGTCAGCTGACTGTGTTATGCTGTTTTGCTCTGCTCTGAATACATAATTCTTTCTCAGGCTGCAAACAAGCTCATGGAAAGGAAATCCTGACCAGAAGTCCTCTGTTTCTAACTTCTGTTCACACGTGCATGCCCAAAAGACTAGGCGGAGGCAATCATCCCCAGAGGCAATTATCGTCCCAGCCAATGGGTTCTGAGACTTCATTTATTTAATTTATTCTGAGTTTCAAAAATGGAAGTGAAATATAATGGCGACATTGACAGTTTTAGTAAGTGGATCAAATGAGACAAGCACATTCAGACTCAACACTTCATCTACACACACTGGCTTCAAGATCCACAGATTTACATCTTAAGAGGAAGTAATGCATGACAGTGAGAACCTTTAAGATGGAACCAAGAGCCTCATCAGTGGACATAAATGCTATTATGTGACCAGCCCTCAGAGACATATTGACTAAATTGATCATTTTGCCACTTTTTAAACAAGCTTTCCAGTGGATTGACTGTGATAAAGCACTGAAACAGTGATCGATACTGTATTCACCCAGCCAAAGAAACATGCCACATCCAGGTATCTGTTCCCAAATGTATCTGTGTTGTCAGTGCACATGAAAGACATTTTGAGTTGTAATGCTTAAAATGACCATCCTGGAATTGACAGGTAGTGAGCTTCTGTAAAGTGCATCCGTCTGCACCACCGCCAAGCAGAAGAACTCACTAACTGGCATGCACACCATACAAAACAAACAATAATGCGGATCCTTGCTTATTAGCGCAAATAATGCAGCCTTTGTCACCCTGAAAACACTCAACTCCAGCAGTAGCGGAGCTGCCAAAAATAGCAGCCACTTAGTCGTTATTCTTAAGCAATAAACCCGACCCAGTAGTTTACACAAAAACATCACTCTGCATTTACAGCACAAATGAAGCTCACACACACTGTACTTAATGGAGTTCTTTCAAAAAAAGGACAACTGATGTTTCAGCAGCACTAACAACCGCTGATACCCAAGGAGGCGGCTTTTTCAGCATTGACAGCTAATCTGCTTTTTGGTAATAGGAGCTAATGATGAATAAATGGCTAATGGACTGATAATGATTTGTCTAAAGTGGAGTTATGACCTGCACCAGGCAGCTCCTCCAGAATACGAAGAGAAAGCTGCACAGGGAGGCATCATTTCTGCACATGCCACCCGCGGCATCTTTTTGTTATGAGGCGGCAGTTTTATTAAGGATAATCAAACAGTGTGCTTTTTATTACCCTTTTAATCTGCTGCACATTTAATCAGTGTCAAGATTAAAAGCACAGGTAGATTAAAAGGCGCAGAAAGGCTGTTGCCAAGAAGACAATTTAAGAGGAGACGTGAGTGTGGGAGAGAGAGAGCTCCACAAGCATGAAGATTGATCGACGCACAGTGTGAGAGCTCAACAAGCTGCCAAAAGGGTTAAAAATCACTTTGAGATCAGGAGGTCTGCACCCGCCTGTGGTTACCATGAGAGAAACATGTCTTCTTGGGGAACTACGGCGTAATGTTTGAAGGAGAACTTTTAAGATGTTTGTTCCCAGCACTCATGGATAAAATATAAAAGCAAACTTCATGCTGCATTAGGCTGCATCTTTATGAGAGTGTATGTTTTGATTTTTGATGGGCGTGGGACATGTCTAGCTTTTTAAATATACATACTTTTTAGTAAGCTATGACAAGAATGACCGGGAAATACATGAAACTGATTTTTTTTTAAATGGTTGTATCAAAGTGTAACACTTTAAAGGTTTGGATAAAGCCAGCATTATTCAACATTTGTCTGAGACTGATTTCCAGAATGTGTGTCAGCTGTGCCTGTCTGGTTTCCAGCAGATACAAGTTGAGCTAGTGTCCAGATATACCCAAGTGATGTGTTTAAGATCTTTGAAACGAATAGAAGGAAGAACTTTTGGGCTTGTAACAGGATAAAGTGCAACATTTATTATGTCTGTCAAACAAAAAAATAAATAAAATAAATAAAAAACTCTCTTTTTCTTGCATTTTTCATAAATTTAAACATTCATGCCAATCATATGTTTAATCATGCACAATCAGAACTTTGCACAAGCTCCAACACTCACCTATTTAAACTATAGTGAAATTTGATCAACAGGTGACAATCAACAAACCTCATAGAGAGCACTGCAAATCAGTTTCAGTTGCTGCAGCTTTTACTTTCATCCGTTTAAAAAAAATTATCAAATCTTCAGGTTCACTCACAGAAAGAAAAGAATAAATTCCAGTTTACCTGTGTCTCCTGACAGTTTCCTAGTGTGAAGTGTTTTTTTGCAGCTGCGTGTGTCAGAGTTCCCGTGGATCAGAGCTGGAGAGCTGTGCAAACTGCAGCAGGTCGCAGTTATACCTCGGAGTGGGTGACGCAGTCAACTTCGCTGAAAACACCGTTTGGATATTTTTCTTGAGATAGACGACAGACAAAAGCTCATTTTGGTCGTTGGGAAATGCTTTCCTGAGCTCACGCTCCGCCGATGCTCAGCCAAATATGGCCATAGGAAGTGGCTCGACACTTTACTGCCCTCGACTCCGGTCGGAAATGTCGCAATCACGAGCTGACCACAAAGACACCCAGGAGGAGATGAAGGCGGATAAAACAGATGAAATTTGGGTTTTTATAAAGAAAGCCTCATACATGACGTAAAGGGCGTGGGGCTGTGGGATAAGTTCAGGGTTACAGGCACGTGGCGTGTGACTTAAGTGGCTTTGTTGCTGTTGCTAACTCTTGCGGTTGTATCTCATAAGTCATTGTTGTTGGCTGTTAAAGTGGTTGTTGCACTTATGAAGTTGAAGCACGCCTTGAAGTTCTTTAAATAGAAGCCAGAGGGGCCCCAAGAATACTTAAGACATGCTATTTTACAAAGTCACCTGACCACTTAAGTGATAAAAACGAAGACGGTTTAAAAAAGTGCAACATGCAGTCCATATAGGCTGTACAACTAAAGTCTTCATTCGTCCAGGAAATATAAACTTCATTTGGTGAGATTTTTCATGAAAACAAAGCAAAAGAATTTCTGTGTGCAAATTGTTTCATGTCTTTGCGAGGACAATATGACCATTTTAAAACTAAAGCAGTGTGCCATGATGGATGATGAGGTAAAACAACAACAAACCAAGGCATCTATTCAGTGTTTTGTGAGTGTTTCACTCTTTGGGTTTTAATTACTAAATCTTAGCAACCTTCCTTTTTTTTAAAAAAAAGAGCATACGTTTTATACAACTTGAAAGGGGCAACAGACGAAAAGAGATAGCATTACTCAAAGTATCCAGCAGATGAGATTACTCAAGGTACTTTTGACGTCTGTCTTCAGATTTGCCTTTGACTTGTTTTATGCCCCTTTCCCGTGTTAGAAATCAGCAAAAACAATCTATGTTTTTAATCATCTACATGTATTTACTCTTGATGCTTTCATCAGAACAGTAGAAACGTTTTTCTGTTCATTTTCAAGCCCTTGATTCTTACTTCCGACCAGAGGCACTTCCGTGAGTTGAAAAGTAGGAGTTTGCGGTTTGTCCTTGAAGGCATCATTTGACTGTTGCTGAGGGACGTCGCTGAGAAAAATCCTCTCTGTGACGGAGGGAGCGAGTTCAGCTGTCAGTCAGACAGAGCTTCATGTACTTTTTACTTTGTTCACCTTAACCCTCTGATGCATGAATTATGAAAGCCCTGATAAAGATTTTTTTCACAAGTGTTTTTATTATTCTAAGGACATAAAAGAACATGTTAAACTGTTTTTTTCCAAAAATGTTATTTTTTCACAAAACTACAGAAGTGTCCATTCAAGTGGACTATATGCGCCTGAGCACTCAACACAAAACATTATGAACTTACAGTAAAAAGTACAGTACACCTAAATATGCCAAACTATCTCCAATATTGGAAACAAAATTGTAAGTCCCCACAGTACTATAAAGATTCAGGACTGACATTACCATGCCCTTATACGAGCATGTTGTTTTCAACAACAAAAACTGACATTTTAGTCCCTGCATCTCCAAACATGTCTCTGCTCATCACACCTAGGATGTATGAAAGTTGGCAAAGCATCCAGGGCACAGTGGCACACAGGCTTTATATGAGCACAGGATTTGCTCATATCTGTTTACAGACATGGCATTTGCAATCATCCCTAGATGAAGGCCATCCTCACTAGACCAGTACATTTGTGCCCCGGGATAACGAATGTACCCCATGATCATGTTGATCCCTAAAAAAGTCTGCATTTCTTCTCCTGTCACTACCAGATTTTCTTTCCCTTTCTGGGGAGCATACAAGTTGGTGTTTTTCACTATATCATCAATGAGATCTGCTGGAAACAGATGTCTGGAGAAGTCTATGGGCTCTCTTCCCTCCACATTGAATTTCCACTCTCCTAGAAAAGTAGGCAAATCTCTATCAAAGAGATTGTCTTGGACTTTCCAGATATTTTTGCTAGCTTGAGAATGGTCAGGTGTCATGTGCCCATTTTCCACAGCTCCCTGATCATGCTGACCTTCCCCTGCATCCTGCCTCTCATCATCCTGGTCCTCATCCACTTGACTATAGGCATCTACCCTTTCTGCACCATGACTGTCTGTATCTCCATCATCCTCAGCCCCTACATTTCTATTCTTCTCTGGCATCCACTCTTGGTCACTGCTACACACTGATTACACTGTATACACTGATTTATAACCAAAACAGCCACAAGTAGCAGTAGAGCAATTACATGACTCCTGTTAAAAAAAATACTGGGTGATGCATGATGTCCACTCAGTTGGACACATGGTTAATTGGGTGATGCATGATGTCCACTCAGTTGGACACATGGTTAATTGTAATTTTCTACATATTGGACATGAAATTTTCAATTCCAAATGGATAATATCCTTCCTTAGATGTTACAGGATATCATCATATTTTTTTTTACAGCTGGGGTTCTTCTACTATAGAAGTATTGACAGGACATGCCAGCTGTAGTCAGCAGGGGTGGCTGTTTCTCGGCCATCTTGGATTTGTAGGAAATTTACTTGCAGTTACACTGATTGCTCACTAAATGTAACTCAATAGAGTAGGGCAGTAGAGAGCACCCTAGAGGCTGATATACACTTCCACCATAAAAACCATTGCATTTAAGAGAAAAAGAGTTTTTGGTAGCTGTCCACTGTAGTGACCACTATGAACCAGAGGGTTAATGAGCACCTCCACTGCCTCAATCCAAGAGAAAAAAAAGTCACTTTCAGAATTTTAGTCAGCCACTCAGGAAACTGGGCTCCAAATAGACTGAAAAGTACAGCTAAATGGACTTGAATCAACAAAAAATGTCCAATTTATCACCATTCAGCTCATATAGCCTACTAAGAAAAATGGCAATTTTCACTGGTACAGAAAATACAGTTCAGTTGGATTTCATTAATGCATTAATACATATCAGCCTATTTTTGTAAAAAGGGTGCTTATACAGATTTGTGTTACAGAAACAGTATATAGTGATAATGAATCTGAGTGAGGGTGTCCATGAAAGAATATACAACAAGAAGAAGCCTGATGTTTTGCATACTACATTACAACATGCTGGGTGTTTAATGTCTTTACTTTATACGAAGCTCCGCAGAAGAGCTCCTTAAAAACTGTTGGGAAATATCAGCATGAATACATTTGAATTTTTAATTTCCTCATGATTAATTGAGGATTAAGGATGGGATTAGAGCCCAAATGATGGATTTCCCTCTACTACTTACTCTTGATTCCCTCCTGACATTAACACCTGTTTTTGTAATGTTCAGTCAGTGACTTGCTTCAGTAATATTTACCACACATGCAAATAAGCAGCTGACAAACAACACTTTGAAGCACCTCGTACCAGAGAACATGATGGGGTTTTTTTCTCACTCTTCTGTTTGCACATAAGGACACATGAACGCGAGGGCATGTGCATAGACGCTTAAAATAGCCACAGGAACATTAATTATATGCTTGTGGGGGGGAGAGGTGATTTTCTACGCAGAGAAATTATTTCACACATGGCATTATAACGGAAGCTGCAGTCAGCCACCATGTCTGAGCGTAGGACTGACAATCCACCGATGGAACCCTTCATCAGAGTCAAAGCTCGTCAACATCCTGCAATTAGGAGTTTCCCTAGCACTGTTTACCTCATGTAAGAGCTCATTCTGAAGCTTTTATCATGTTATGAAACAGTATAAAATCCCTGCTAGGAAAACAACATGGTTTAGCAGTGGTTTCGGAGCAGTTTCCCATTCCTGCAAATATGGAAAAAACACTCCAACAGCATTCTGTTAGTAAGGTGGGCTAATACTTGTGCATTCAAGATGACAGTGGCTGTGGTTCAGTTTAAAGAAAATAAATACTTGACTCTAGGGTGGGTCAAGATTGGATAATTGCAGGCTTACGTTGCTTGCTTCTACATTTTGTTTGTTTTTTTCTTAACAATGCATGTTCAAGAGGGTTTTTTTCCCCTCATGACTCAAGGGCTTCCTGAGCTGTGAACAAACGGGTAAATGATGCAAAAAGACCAAAAATCACACAACAAACCTACAATAATTTAATAAGAAAGGGGGGGAAACAAAACAAAAGGGAGGGTTCTCTCTGGTTTTAACTTTTATGACATTATTTCATAAAGGCCGCACAAGCAGAAGGCTTTTCTTATGTGATGTTGAGTGATAAGGCACATGTGACCCTTGTTTCCATGGACACATCATTAGAGAAGTTCCCCAGATGCAACTGCTTCAAGTGTTGACAGGAAATAATGAGTGAAGGTTTTAGTTATATCCAAGATAAACACAAATATGACAGCCAACATTCAGTTTGATTGGAGACTGGAGTCACTGTACTTCTTTGGCAGCTCAGGTCTTATGAGTATAAAGAACCAAGCAGTGTCAAGTGGATGTACTTTTTTTTAACCATCAGTGTCCACTCTTCTCTCAAATCACTGAGTCATCCAAAGGTCGGTCACTCACTGTAGCCTATTTATTAACGTCTCTGCGGCAACTTCTCAGTGTGCCAGTCAGCTCTCTTTTGTGTCTTTTGCTTTCTTCCTTTACGATGATTGATCTAAGATTGAAGGAATTTGCAGTTCTCTAAACATTCATTGTTCCAAGTGTTGCCTGTTTAGTAAGTAGAAGGTGCATGATGAGCATGTGCACATTGATTACTTCCCAGTCAAAGGATTTACATTGTTTTCTGCTCACATTACACATCAATGCAGCAGCACATTTTGCTGATGCTATTGTTCAGTCAGAGCTCATCCCCAAACTTGCAATACACAGCCAAAAAAAGGCAAGCTGTCTCCAGCAAACTGCAGAAATAAACTGCAATGTTGACAAGTGCAATGGAATTTTAGACACATTGTTCAGAGCATGTCTGCACAGTGTTTCTGCAAAAGCAGCGCGAATGACCATACAAACACAACGTACATGAGGTTTGACATGCATGTACAGCCACCAAGTGGTGAGTGGTGTGTATGTACTTTACCCTTGGTGTTGGACTCACAGTGACATGCGTTTGCAGTACCTATCTGTGCAAAACAAATACATCTCAACCCAGCTCAAGAAAGAATCCTATCATGATAGGATTGATTTTTTTTTTTACACGGAAAGGAGTTCCAGTGCCAGGTTGACAGAACATGACAGAGCAAAATAAGAACAACACAAAAGGACATCAAATATACCTGAAATCAAAGAACATTAAGTGTATAATTAAGTATCGTGTGGATGAGTGTTAAACTCTAGAAAACCATGCCTACAAAAGAATCAATTAAGTCACAAAGGAAGCAAAGTACAAAAGGAAAAGCATGATTGACAGTTGTACTGGCAGCTGCGCTGCTTGAAACAGACACAATTCTGCTCATATTCCATCTTCCATATATAGAGGCCTGTAGTTCTAAGTGCTTCACAAAGGAACAGACATGATATAAAGGCAGATATTGAAAGCAAATGAATAGGGAGATGGTATACTTTAGTACAGTACAATGCACTACTAAACAAGTTGACATGATGCATTACGATATGGTCTACATGTATATTTTTTTTAAACCCTTGGAAAGGCTCATAAACTCCAGCCAGATCCATCCTCATAGTAAGAGGCTAGATTATAGAAGACAGATTATTTAATCAACATTAAAAACATTGACAGAGCTTGCCGTTGTGTTCTTTCAACACACTGATTTCAAAGATTCCAGGCCTTAGAAACATAGACCCTTTGCCCTTTATAAGTTAGAGATGCAATAGGTTTATGTAAAAGAGACTATCTACATCTGGGTTCATTTTCCATAAAATCAATTGCATGTGTCAGCTCTGTGGTAGTTCTAGTTATCGTTTATACAAAATACGCATTAAAGTAAATTTAGAGCCCAAGATTGACTCTCATTGTTATTTTGAGTCTCCACAAGCTAAATCATGAATATCATTATATTTTCTTGGAGGCCAGATATGAAGTTTTCTTTTATTTTTTTGTATTGATTGCAAATGAATGCAGATAGAGCCTTCCTACACAAACATGCAAGTTAATTATTTTGACACGATAAAACTATCAGTATGACTTGCAGCAAACAGATCCTACCATCAGCAAGAACAATCAGCACTCAACAACACAAAACATCTGTCACTCAGAAACCAAAACCTATCATCTCCAGAAAAGTTGTAGGGAAGTTACTGACAGTGGTTTAGTTTCTCATGACACACACAGGCTCTGTTCAGCTGAGTTGTACAAAAAGTAAGAATCAAACAATGATAGAGCAACAACAGCATGTAATATTTCAAAGCTGACCATATAGGTACAGCTAGAAAGACTGCATTGACAAGCAAACAAACAACTTTATTTTTAAGTGAGGATTTCTACCTAAAACAGAGGGAAAGGATAAACTACGATACAATATGATTCCATGTGATATGATATGATTTGAACTTATACAATTCCACACAATACAGTACAATACAATATGATGTGATTTGATACAATTCCATATTACACTGTTCCATATGATACTATACGATTCCAGAAGATACAATAGGATACAATCAGATACAATACGACCCGAATTGATACAATTCCACATGACATAATATTATACAGTATGATATGATATAATACGATGCAATACAATACAATATTGGACAATTGATCCTGTAATGACGATCGATTGTTGGATAGGATTCACTGTATTGGTCATCATGATAAGATATAATACAGTTGAAACAATACTATGAGATTAGATAGAGCACCTTCTGTCAAATGCTGATGGGACACTTAATCTTATATCGCAGTACTATTTGAAATGCTACAGTAGAGTCGGACGGGATGCACCTTTGTTTTAATTTCTGTTGAAAATCTCTTGTGTGTTAAGAGTTTAATGTAACCCTTATTCATAGACTCTCCTGATTCCACTGAACTGTAGACACCTTCCTTGAAAGAAATGCAGGTTAGCTCAAAATAATTCAAAATAACCTGAACAGCTGCACCTGAGTTTTAACTGCGAACATGATACTGACACTATTTGTTTAATATTATTATTATTATTGTTGTTGTTGTAAATGTTGTTGTGTTAAAATCATAGACTGTATATACTATGGACAACTTGGTTCCGCCTCCCGTCCGTATACGGATTTGAAGCCAAAAAGCTCTCAGTATTTCTGCGATTTTTCTTCATTTCCTGAAACTAGCATTGCACAGTAGCGTTGTGCGCATTTGGCGGGAGAGTCGCCGAGAGTCGCTGTGATGACGCTCGGCTCAAACAGTGTATCCCCCAGGTGAGCTATGCAGTCCCTGAACGCCAACAGGTGTCAATCAAAGAAAACATGAACCCCTAATAACTTTTAAAAATGGAGCTTCACAGAAAAACAAGGACTTGAGCACAAACTAGTCTTACTGTAACTACATGTCAACATCGCAACCGGGGGTAGAAAAATTTATATCCTGTGTAAGGTGATAGAGCTTTCTCCATCAGAGCTCCTCGACTTTTGAATGACCTACCAGAGGAGATTAGGCGTGCAGAGACAGTCACTTCTTTTAGGTCAAATTTAAAAACTCACTTTTACAGACTTGCTTTTACGTGATGCCGTCTTTTATCTTTTATCTCTATCTTTTATCTGTCATCTCTTATCTCTTTTATCTCTATCTTATTTCGGCTTTACCGTCTTATTTAGCTTTTGTTAAACTAAGCTCATTTCTATTGCTCCATTTTATCATTACCTTTATCATCAGGATTACCTGTTATCATTTTATTAGCATTTGTGATATTGCCTTTTATATTTACTATCCTGTTTCCGCTTTCTTCCTCCCTTTTAATTGCATTTTCCTTTTTTCTTATCTATTTTATGTTTTTATTTTGGTCCTCATGGTCTCATTTTGTATTGCATGGTTCTTGAATAGCCTGGGTTCCTAATGACATGAAAATGGCCTTCAATTCTGTTTTTACTGAGCTTTTTGTTTGTATTTGTCTTTTTCCATGTGCTCTATGTCTACATGTCTAAGCACTTTGTAAACATCCGTTTTTTTTTAAAGTGCTATACAAACAAAGTTGTTATTATTATTATATTATTATTAATACATTTCTGTATTAAGTTTGTCCACAGCTCCATAAGCTTTACTGGCGGAGGCAGGATTCATGACCTATACTGCAGCCAGTCACCAGAGGGTGCTGTTCTTGGAGTGGCTTCACCCAGCGAGGAGGCAGACACTGTCCATTCTATATACAGTGTATGGTTAAAATGCTTTGGCAGTATTGTAGTTACAGTCATGCCAATAAAGCTCATTGAAATTGAAATATTTTCTTATTTACTGGTATAAAAAGTCAAAATTATTAACAGCGTGGCTGCCCAGATACAGTACAGGCCAAAAGTCTGGACACAACTTCTCATTCAATGTCTTTTCTTTATTTTTTATATGACTATTTACATTGTAAATCACTGAAGGCATCAAAACTAAGAATGAACAAATGTGGAATTTTGTACTCATAAAAGAAGTGTGAAATAACATGTTTCATATTCTAGTTTCTTTAAAATAGCCACCCTTTGCTCTTGATGACAGATGTACTTAGTCAGTCACTAGGTAACCCTGACAAGGCACACTTGTGAAGTAAAAACCATTTCAGGTGACTACCTCATGAAGCTCATTGAGAGAACAGCAAAAGTTTGCAGCACTATCTAAAAAGCAAAGGTAGCTACTTTGAGGAATCTAAAATATAAAACATGTTTTCAGTTATTTCACACTTTTTTCTTACGCACATGATTCCACGTGTTCATTCATAGTTATGATGCCTTCACTGAGAATCTACAATTTAAATAGTATTGAGAATGAAGAAAATGCATTGAATGAGAAGGCGTGTCCAAACTTTTGGCCTGTACTGTATATTAGCTACTTAAAAGAAATATGATTTACAAAAAAAAAAAAAAAAAGCCCGTAAGTGCGCCAACTGCTTTTCTCATTCCAGTCCGGTAGGTGGCGTTGATTCATATGTATCCCATTGTACCAGCTGCCAACACAAACAAGAAGAAAGGGACGAAGAAGAAGTAAAACGATTCTGTAGCCTAGCCCGAATGTGGCTTGAAAAATGTGACAACAGTGGGGAAAATTGCTTCTCGGAAACACTGTCTTCTTTAACTTCTATTTACTGCGAACCATGGCGGACTTTCAGTATCTGTTGGACACGGAGAGCCCGGCCGAAAAGGACTGTTTGACTGTGCGTTGGTCTTGTTGTTATTGTAGCTAGTGTTAGCGCTAACCCCGCTAGCTGATCTGCTGTCTTCGCTCTCAGTTTGACCGACGTTGATTCACTGCAGCGGGGCTGTGAAACCACAGCAACAAGGTAACTCCGGAGCAAGTTACAGGCTCAAACCACCCATCCCAGAAATGAGTTTTCAACACTTATGTACTTACTATGTAATTATCCACTGCCAGTATTTTGGGCAAGGTTGCATTATACGGCTTGTTGGCATTAATTGACAAATAAAACCAAACTGTCATAACTCGAAGAAGACAACGTAAATAAAATGTAGTCACCGGCTAAATTAAGCTTGAAAACCTCGAGATGTTTGCATTGTAAGCTCTAAGGTTAAGTAGATGGCGCTTTAGCTGCCTACATTCTCAAAAATGGAGCAGCAGATAGCAGCCAGTCGGCTGGCTCTGCGTCTTTGCAGCACATCTGTCTGAGTTGTTCGCCTATGAGAGAGAAAACATGTCTTGCAAAGCCGCAACCAAGGACAAGAAGTCGAGCTTCAGTAAGAAGCTGTTCAGGAGAGGCTCTGTGCGCTCAGTGGGCAGTTTCATGAGCAGAGTGCTCCGGACACTCACTGCGTTATCCCACTTTGGATCTGAAGTGCAAGCAGAGGAGGACAAAGATGATGGAGGCTTTTCCACGTTCAAATCTGGGAGTAAAGATGTCCCCATGGATGATGGAGACCTGGGGGGTTTCCTGTCTGGAGAGAGGATCCCCGGAGTGTCAGGTCTGAAAAACCACGGTAATACCTGCTTCATGAATGCCATCCTGCAGTGCCTCAGTAACACCGAACTCTTCGCTGAGTACCTCGTCTTGGAGCACTACAAAGATGAGGAGCTGGATGAGGACAAACCAAAGACCAATGGAGTACTCCTCCAGAAGAAGGGTCCTCTGGGTAAAGGAGAGGTTACTGAGCAACTATCGGGACTTGTGAGGGCTTTATGGACATTTGAATACACCCCCCAGCACAGCAGAGATTTTAAGGTAAATTAATCACTTGCATTGATCATGGTGTAATGCAGTGGTTCACGAGTCCAGTCCTCGAGGCCCACTGTCCTGCATGTTTTGGATGTTCCCCTGCTCCAACACACCTGATTCAAATAATCAGCTCGTTATCAAGCTCTGTAATGGCTTAATAACGAGCTGATCATTTGAATCAGGTGTGTTGCAGGAGGGAAACATCCAAAACATGCAGGACAGTGGGCTTCGAGGACTGGACGTGATAACCACTGCTGTATTTTATAGGATAAGATATGTTACAAACAAATGGCTTTGAAGAATTACGTATCGCTGACTCAAAGGGATATTCCAACGTAAAATTAATTTAGGGTCAAAAACACCATAACACCAAGTTAAACTCTCCGTTGAGAGATGAATGTTGCTGACTGCCTGCTTCTCTAGTAATGCCAACTTTAATAACGGTTTGAGGAGCCATAAACAAACCTCAACCTAAACCACTCTATAGCAACAAATAATGCTCAGAAGAAAAGCACCTAACTTCATCAACAGTACATATAGGGTCCCAGCCACCAAACATCTTTTTAACTTTGCCTGATTTCTTTCCCAAAGAGAGTAAACACAACTCACTCACTCTCTTCCAGCAGCCGTTTGTTTGTAGCGAGACCTCAGGCCAGTCCATTACGGACTGCTGCGGGGTGACGCAGCTCAAGGAAGAACATCATTACATCATTACTTAATGGAAATGCAATCAGACCGAGACGCTAAGGCAGAAGAACTACCGCATCTGCAGTGCAAAATGATTAATATGGTGATTATTACTTCAAGGAAATGATAAAGTAATGATCATTAATGTTCTTCCTTGAGCTGCATCACCCCGCAGCAGTCCATAATTGACTGGCCTGAGGCCTTGCTACAAACAAGCGGCTGCTGGAAGAGAGTGGGTGAGCTGTGTTTAGTCTCTTTGGGAAAGAAATTAGCCAAAGCTAAAAAGATGTTTGGTGGTTAGTACTATGGCTGGGACCCTGTATGTCCTGTTGATGAAGTTAGGTGCTGCTCTGAGCATTATTTGTGGCTATAGATTGGCGTTTTGGTTGAGGTTAGTTTATCGCTCCTCAGACCGCTGTGCACTGCTATGGTGCGGTCGTTTCTAAAGCTGGTATAACTAGAGAAGCAAGTGATCGGGGGTGTCTAACTTGGTGTTGCAGTGTGTTGCAGTGACCCTAAATCAATTTTACGACGAAATATCTCTTCAAGTATGAACAGTTCTTGGTGTATTCTATCTTTTGTGTGTTGTAATCTTCTTGCATGCTCTCTCTGCAGAATGCAGTGTCAAAAAACGCCACTCAATTCAAAGGGCATTCTCAACATGATGCTCAAGAGTTTCTGCTGTGGCTGCTGGACAGAGTGCATGAGGACCTCAACTCAGTTAACCCCAGCTGCAGGCCCCCTATAAAGGTGAATCCAGAGGGTTTGTGTTGTGTCAGAGCTGCAGTTTTAGCATTTTAAAGAAGCCCTAAACGTAAAGTGTTGGCTGTTTGTTACATGGCGTTGTTATTCTCATGTGTTACACACTTCTGTCTATCTTATCATTTGGCTACATCCACATTCACAGCCACACACCAGGCTTGTCTGGTCTTGTTTTTCCACACCAGTTGATGACAATAAATGACATGAGGGTTAATATAATACCCTGATGGACTGGAGCTTTTTTTTTACCGGATTATGTAAACTAATCAAACCTGTTTTGTTTGCTTAGCCACCTATTGAAGAGGATGACCAAAGCTTAGAGGGCCCTTCTCCTCCCCTCTCTGCTGGTTCGTTTGTCCAAGAGCTGTTTCAGGCGCAGTACAGGTACAGTCTCGTTCTGGTTCAAGTATTTTGTTTTTCCAGTTTGGCCTCATTATCTTCGCTGTATGAAGAAAATATATTTCCCCCCGCAGGTCCTCTCTCACCTGCCCGCACTGCCAAAAGCAGAGCAATACATTTGATCCTTTCCTCTGCATTTCCTTACCCATCCCATTGCCACACACACGGTAAGTGCTCGCTATACAGGTTTTCATGCACCTTCAGGACTCAACTATAATTTCAGGCTTAGAAGATGTAAAAATACTCCATTCAAATCTCATTTAAGTTTGACTTCATGTGTTTGACTGACAAGTTTATAAGAACCTGAAGCAAATGTCACAGAAGAAGGAATGCAGTCTGGTGTGTTAGGAGTGAGGGGGATGGTTGGGGTGCAGAAGAGAGAGCCGAACAAGGGTGGGAGGATCTGCAATTTTGACATTTTTAAGAAAATGGAACATCAGTTTTGTTTTGTCTTTAGTCAAGAAAAGACTCCAGATTTCAGGGGAATATAAAGAGGAGTAAAAAGAAATAAACGTGTAATCCCAGCTTGCATATTAAAGTATGTTTTTTTAATTTGTGTCTTTTTGTGCCAGACCCCTGTATGTGACGGTGGTCTACCAGGGAAAGTACTCTCACTGTATGAGGATCGGAGTGGCTGTTCCTCTCAACAGCACCGTCTATCGTCTCAGAGATGCTGTGTCACGTGAGACCAAGATCCCAATGGACCAGGTGCTATTCCTGTCCCTTATCAGTTCAGGGTCTGACACAGTGAGGATATGTTACAGTGGCACAAAGCTGGAGCTAATTGTTCCTAAAGCAATGAACCTGGTTTTATTTATCTAGGAAGTCTTTTTTTGATCTGAACTTTGAGAGGATTGACGTTATAAAAGCGTTAAAAACAAGTATTAACACATTTCTTTTTCCCTCTTTTAGTTTGTTTTGACTGAAATGTACTACGACGGTTTTCATCGCTCGTTTTGCGACGATGACGATGATCTGGACATCATTCAAGAGAGTGATTCCATATTTGCCTTTGAGACACCAGAGACCTTCAAACTGGAAAACATACGCACAAAAAGAGGTACGCCTTTTTTTCCCCTCATGAGCTATTTCTATATCAGTTCACAGAATAAAGATATATGATGACTTGTTTTCTGTCTTTCACAGGCAGTCTTCTGGCAAACTTGAATCACAATAACTTTAAGTATGGGACAGAAATCAGCAGGACTCCATCTTTCATGCAGGGGGCCATGACTCCTTTAACTGCATCCCCCAATAAAAACCTGGGGCCAGAAAAAATTATCCTTCTGGTTTGTAACCGAGCTTGTACTGGCCACCAGGGGAAGAGGTATTACAATCACGTTAGCTGATTTTCTGTAATCCCAGGCTGTTGTTTGTACTTTTTAAAAAAAAATCTATATTCCTATTTTCTCAGATTTGGGTTGCCTTTCGTACTGTACATGGAGCGCACTGTGACCTGGGATGCTCTGCAGAAAGAGATCCTGGAGAAAATGCGTCATCTTCTCAGGCCTGGTGTCTACATTCAGGTGTGGAGCGGGTGACACACTTTTGAAATTCGAGTCGTTCAGTTCCTAACAGCTGTCCCTGATGTTTTTGGAGACAGTGTCAGAGTGCTGATCATTAAAAGCGGTGTCTCTGTTCAGGTTGGACCTTTCAGTCTTCGGGTGGTTGGCGTTGTTGGTATCACCTACCTCCTTCCTCAAGATGAGCGACCACTGTGTCACCCCACTGTGGACAGGTCGGTTCTGTGTGCTGTGTATTAAGAGCAGATTTTTAAAGACCCACTTTTAAAGAAATGTTCAGTAGAGGATATGCTATCACAAATCTGGTGTGACTCCTCACACAGCTGTCCATGTTGAAAAAGGTGGAAAACAGTAAATAATACTTAAAAATGTTACACATTCTTTTCTTTAACTTCTGATTAAACTCCTTTTATATTAATTCAAAATAAAATGTTTTGAAAGATACAGACGTGCATTTTGGAATTAGGGTGAGGTCAAAATTACACGTTTTATCCCTTTAATCTTTACTTTACATACACGCCTCCTCAGCTGTGTTCCTCTCACAGGCTTCCTGGGGCGACATGCCCGAACACGTTAGTGACTGTTTGTGAAAATGCCAGTTCAGCATGTTCGTCCAATCACCTAGAGGAGTTCGCAACAGTGGAACAAGTCACAGTGTAGTTTTCTAAAACTGGTTCTGTTTATACTGGATTAAGTTCTCCTAAAAGAGCTTGAATATATTTAGTGTATTACTGATGTCTTACAGCTGAAATATGTTTGTCATTTAATCTCTTTAAATGATTTATTTTGGATGGTTTTACTGCATCAGCTAATTCTCTGACGCCAGATTCTTCACACTGTCTCATTTTTAGTCTCCGTATTATCACAAATAAATAATTTTGTATATAACTCTATGAAATTCTATTTGTGATTGACTTAATTTTTTATTGTTTCTCTGTAGAGCATACAAGTCCTGTGGGCAAGGGGGGCCCCCACATGTGAAGATAGTGGTGGAGTGGGACAAAGAGACCAAGGACTAGTGAGTAAAAGACGTCATTGACTTTGTTTGTTTGTTGTGCTGGGTTTTTATGTTTGGAAACATTTCGAGAAGATGAGTGATTGGTCATTTCTAAGTCTGTCTGTTTGTGTCTCTGCATAGAGAGTTGTGATCACACGCCTTCTTTTAAATTTGTACCATATTTTGGAGGAAATTAAGAGGCTCAAATCTTTGCACAAACTTACAGAAAGGTGCTTCATTTTAGGCAACATCTTGCTCGGTCTGTGTGTTTGTGTGTGTGTCCTTGTGCTCTGCCCTCCATCACACCTGCAGCTTCTTTGTTAAGTCTCTCCATCTCTTAAAGATTTAGAGATTATTTTATATTTGCTCCAGATGTGGATAGGGTTGGGTATTGTTTGATTTTGAACAATTCTGGTTTTGATTCAGATTCCTCGTTTCGATTCCGATTCCTATTGATTCTCTATTTCGATTCTTTAAAAAGGCAAGATATTAAAAAAATGCATGGTTTACATGAGGGTGTATTGAGTTCTTCTTTTTGGATGAAATTTCTGAACTTCTCCATGAATTTTTAATTATGTTAACTTTTTAAGATCTTTACTATGACCAATATATAAATATCAATTTTTGTTGTCAGGTCGTTCGTCTATGAAAAAGTACAAGGGCTAACGTTAGTTGGATATTTAAGTTGACCCACCGTACACAGTACAATTTGTTTGCCGCTTCAGTGTTAGCAGAAGACAGAAGAAATGTGTTGTCTCACTTATCTGGCCTCCTTCGCCTCTGATTGGCTATAAGTGCTGACAGTTTGGCTTGAGGGTGTGATGAACAGTCTTCCCCGGGATGCGTCCCCCCCCCCCCCGCGGAAAGTCGCAAAATCGCATCGGGCTTGATGTGTATAGTTCGGCGCATCAAAATTCTCCTCCGAATTTTTCTAAATTATGCGTTCTATATTTGCGTCAGCCCCGGGGTGTAAGGACCTTAAGTTTGAATCTTCTGATATGAATGTTTTGTACATTTTTGTGCAGCTGTCTTCATTCCGTTTCCATTTGTGGAAAAAGCCTTGTCCACATGCTGGTCACCTTTTATGATGCAAGATTATTAAATGAAGCAAGTTTTGATGTTTGGGCATCTTAACAAGATCTTTTAGATGGAGGGTCTTGTCAAAAAGGTGGAAATGGTAGGGAGTAAAGAAGGGACACGCTGTTGTGTGTCATATGAGGAAAGCTAAAAGTGTGGTGTGTGTTTGTGTGAAAAAGAGGGGTGTGGATACAGATTTGAAATAAAGACGTGTGTTTACATTTATCAGAAACCATAATAGAGAATGACATCGTATAAATAAGATAATGTACTCACTACTGTGGAAAACACTGATTATTTGGATCAGTATATTTGTATTTATTGAAAAAAAAAAAATACAGGCATGGATCGCTCTGTGTTTCGTCAGGTAATCCTGAGCACATAATGTTCGTCACTCTTCAAGATCACTCTGTACCTGATTTTCTTGTTTTCTATCTGCTTTGTCGCAGTTGTTTTGTTTTTTCTGTACTCTCTGTGTCGGTTGTCAGGCTGCCGGATCACGCGATGCCATAAAGGAGTTATGAGTGAAACTTTTTGAACACGATTTGTGTTTTTTAGGCGACTCTCTAAAATAAACTGCTGATGAATATTGTCAGTAGAGCAGATAAACACTGTGAGAGAGATGCAGGCTGGAGGGAATTAGCTGCAGTTTTGTGCTATTTGTGTATAAAAGAGCTATAAATACACATGTGACGTAAGATAAATGAGTGTGTTCTTGAAATACTAATAAACTACCACATACTCTTTACAGTATTTAAGGGCAGAGGTCGATCATTATCATCATTCATGCTTCTTTAATCACTAGAAGGCCAAGTCATGACTGTTAAAGTGCAGAGGGGTCAGATTTAAACTCTGTTTTGTGAGGCAGCAGTTCAGTGAACTGATGACGGCTGCATTGTGGATGATTTTGTTTGCAAAGCTGCTCTGGGCAGTTTTCAGGGTCTACTTCTACGGGATCAACACGGTCTGGTCTGACTATCAGTTGAATCGGTCTTATGATCCTCACTTGACCACTACCGTTGCATGACTGAGCACCTTCTGCCTCATGTTCCCACAGTCTGTTTGGACACACCGAGGAGGAGTACATTCCTGATGCTGAGAGCGTGTATCTGCACAGGGAACAACATCATCAGCCGCAGGCCTGCACTCTCGCTCAGTGCTTCCATCTCTACACCAAGGAGGAGCAGGTAACATTCGAGACTCATATTCAGACACTCTCTCTCTCTCTCTCTGCGGGCCGTCACTCTGTCAGGAGTCTGACATTAAAAAACAAACCCAAGCTTCGCCTCAGCACATAGCAAGGGCCAGTATATTTTAAAGTGGAACCTCGAATTTGTCTCCACCCTGCTGGTTTATTATTCTTCTGCTCAAGTTTAAAAAGCTTTTCTCTCTGCGTGTTTCACTCTTGAGTTTCCCTCTTAAAGCTATGTTTGGAAAAGAGCTCGAAATTCTCAGCACGGTCCCACATATACACTGTGGTTTGACTGGGATTGCTCCGGAGTAGAGCAGAGAGAAGCGAGAGGAAAGTTCAGGGCCTCTTCCTGTGCGAGGCCTCTTTTATAAGCGCTGTGGTTGCAGCTCGTCCTTGATGGCTGTGTGTGCATGTATGTGTGTTTCAGCTGGCCCCAGACGATGCCTGGCGCTGTCCCCACTGCAAGCAGCTGCAGCAGGGTCGCATCAAGCTCAGCCTGTGGACGCTGCCGGATGTGCTCATACTGCATCTCAAGAGGTTCAGACAGGTACTTCAGCACTGCCACCTCCTCCTCCTGAAACTCACACTGCGTTGACACCAGTATCTAAACAAACAATGAAAAACACTGCCTCTGGGTGTTTGCTAGGAGACTAAATTTAGTAGTATGAAGCAGGGTTGGCTTTGCAAATCCGGAAAGCCCTAAAAAGAACTGTCTGAAACAGTTGAGTCCCTGCTGATTAGAGCAGATGTGTACTATTCAAGAACCTTGAAAGAACTGAAGTGGAGTTAATGATACCCACTTAGCTTTTGGCCGTTTGTCTTGATTTAATGTAACAAAGAGAAGTCACATGAAGCAGGCTACCACCCCAGTAAGTTTGAGTCTCTGTGGGAAGGTTTTCATAGGGGTGAAATTTCCAGCATGTGACCGCTCACAAGCATGAAGACGTCTGGAGATCAGGCAGGAGATCATCATATTTAAAAAAACTCTGCCCAAACTTACAGAATTAGAAACATGTGAAGTTTACAGCAGACCAAGCATTTCAAAGTAGTATTGAGTAGAGATGCACCAATCCATTTTTTTCTGATCCAATCCAATACTACTGTTGAATGAATGAACTGTATACCTTGCCCTACGAGTGAAGGCATCAAGCTTGACATAAGCCTTGTTAAAAAAAGGTAACAAATTAACAAAGATATGTATTTACTTTATATTATTTATTAAAAAATAACAAATTGCACATTAGCACACAGCAAAAAGACTTCCATGCATTAAAAGAAAAATTAATGAAAAGAAAAAAAAAGACTGGATCGGTGTCATTCATCAGATATCCAATCGGGTTAATTTGTCAATGTTGGAGCTGATATTCGATCCAAATACTGAATTGGTGTATCCCTAGTCTTGACTACCTTTACATGCAGATGTTTTTTTGATCATGAAGAGGTGGAGTTTTTATGATCATTAAAAAATTAAATAGTTACAGCGACTGCTTCGACTATCAACAAGCACAGAAAAAAAACCCCACTTCAAACTAACGCAGGATGTCAGCTTCTGTTTTTCAGAATCAGACTGGTTTAACGACTAAGTTAGTTTGCATAGAAAACAGCCTGTTTCTCTACAATGGAAGGCATAGAAGCTTCTTTAAATCAGTCAAACAGAGATGCAGTATTTTTCTGCTCTTCATTTGTGGAGCCATTAACCCTTAGTGTGCAAATTCTGCCTCATTTGGACAGATGTAGTGCATGAAAAATCATGTGTGAATCAGGCCCATGATGTTAACAGCTTCATAGTACAGGCTGTAGTTGGGTTCAAACTTGTAGTGGCGATTGTTGTACCCCATGAGGGCTGTCAAAATTGCTCCAAAATGACATTCAAATATTCATTCGAAAAATAACACGTAGGTTTGAACATATCCGAATATCTAGTTTACACAGCTTGCATATAACTTTATCTCACTCATTTTTTCCGTCTACCATGTCTGCTCAAAATCCAAAGAATTTCCAAATGGAGCTTCTAAAGTTTGTTGGAGTCCAGACCACTCTCTCCGAGTTAGGCTCTGCCACGGACAGTTTTTGTCGCATCTCACTCCATGTGCAGCTCCTGTGACCTGTCCCTGACCTGTCATTATAGTGCACTCACTTGCAAAGCAGACGCTGTGCTTTTTTTGTTGTTGTTTTTTCCCCACTCAGTTTTTGCTCGCTGTTTATTTAATATCCGAATATTAATTTTCACATTCAAATCAAATTTTTTTCTTAAATATTTTAAAGTAAATTTGAATTTAGAATTCATTGACAACCCTATTTCCCACCAAGTGTAAAAGGCTGTTTGTTGGTATCTATGTACTGACCCTTCGTGTCATGGGTTCTTCAGGAGGGAGACCGCAGAGTAAAGATGCAGAACATGGTGAGGTTCCCCCTCATGGGCATGGACATGGCTCCTCACGTAGTCAAAAGGAGTCAGAGCAGCTGGAGTTTACCATCTCATTGGTCGCCATGGAGACGGCCTTACGGCCTTGGGAGAAACCCTGACGACTACCTGTATGACCTCTACGCGGTGTGCAATCACCATGGGAACATGCACGGAGGCCATTACACAGGTGAGGGTGAAAACATTTGATCTGGTTCGGAGTTTGTTTGAGTTTATTTCTCTCCGTTTTGATCCGTTCTTCTCTTCGCTTCACCCCCACAGCGTACTGCAAGAACTCCATCGACGGTCAGTGGTACTGCTTTGACGACAGCGAGGTTGCACCGATAGCTGAGGACGACGTGTGTCAGCAGACAGCCTACATACTGTTTTACCAGCGGAGGACGGCCATTCCCTCCTGGTCAGCCAACAGCTCAGTGGCCGGTCAGTATTTTTCAGTGCGTCTGCCCAGATTTGATGAATGATTTAACACCACAGATTCAACAGAAAGTTCTTTTCAAGGTTAAAAACGGGAGAGAAATCAACATGAGCTGGAGTGCAGCTTATGGGCTGCAACCATTAATTTGTGGATATTTTATTAAGCCTTAAAAAGATGAAACTTTAGCCTCCTGAAATATCTAGTTTTGACCACGACCCAAAAGTTTTCGGTCATTTTTCAGAAGAGTTTTTGCTCTAAAAGATGAATCAATTTTAAAACCAATTAACAAAACATTTGTTCATTATTTGGTTGACACAAAAATGAGTGCAGCTCTTATGTAGTGCAATATGAAATAGCATCTGTGGTTAGACTGTGGTCAGGCTGTGTTTTGAAGCACGTTGAAAGACATCATCTTTAATTAGAGTAAAGCCTAACGCTGGTTTCAAGCCATTATCATTTTAATTACGCGCACTCACCACCCCTGTCAGACTGTTTCTAAAAAGTGGTCTCCCTCTGTCATTCTCCCCTTTTCACCTTATTATTATAATAATAAATGTTTACCCTCTCCCTCCCAGGATCCACTAGTTCCTCCTTGTGTGACCACTGGATCAACAGGTTGCCCGGCAGTAGGCCCGCCAGCTTGGCCTCTGGAGCCTCATCCAGGCGCACCTCTCTGGCATCGCTGGCTGAGTCAGTGGAGTTTCCAGCAGAGCGCAATGAAGATGATGGTGAGACAGTTTTTATCCATGTGCCAGAAATTATTTGTCTTGTGTTTTTTTGTCATTACACGTCAAAAAAAAGGAAGCGAACAAATACAAGAAAAAGCAAAACTTCATTGTGTTCTCACTTATTCACTATTTATACTCGGCCTATTTGGTCCAAGCTGTGCAGGGCAAGACCAGCCTTTTCATGACACTTATTATTGATAAATGCATGGAAACGCATATATCAATAATAAGAGGTTTGGATGTTAGCCATTTCTTATTGATGAAGGTTCTGTTTTTAATTTCAGTTTACTCTGGATTATTTTTGATGCTGTGTTTTTTAGCTTAGTTAATTTTTTTTATGTCTAATTCTTAATTTTTGTTGAGTTTTTATTTGCCACCCCAGTCAAAAAAAATCAATAAAAATATTAGCCCCTGCTTGTTAGCACGTTTTCAAAATACTTAACACCTCAGTAAATGGAGCCACACAGATGAAATGGTTCTGTTAATGGGGTAGGAGCCATACAGTCAAAGACAGGGATTTAACTCTCACCCAGGTAAACATCAGACAAGCAACATGGCCATGTTGTTAGCTAGTAAAGTCAATGTGGATCGCCCGCTGCTGATCCCTCTCCCCTCCCACTATCAATATAAACCAACAATAATCCATCCAAATCAGCATCAGCAAAGAGAGGGGATTTTCTTGAAGCGGATTAGAGTGATAGTGTGCTCTAAAAAATGATGTAGCCTCTATTTCTTCAGCAGAACAGGACATTGATTTTAAAGAGCTTCATGTCTGTTAATCAAGCTGTTAATGTCTGCCAGGTGGAGAGTAATACAAAAGAAGGGTTAGAACTAAAGACCTTCAAGGGTGTTAGCCAAAACTGAACTCCTGCTTACGCTTTCTCTATAATATGTTTTTAAAATTCTAATTTGTTTTGTAAAATTTTGCCTTTATTGGATATACAGCCGAAGAGAGTGGGGGGGAATTAAAACAAAGGGTTCCAGCTGGGATTCAAACCAACAACCGCTGCATTGGGGACAATAGCTTTAATATATGGGGCACTCAAACTGCTAGGCTTTTGGCTATTAGACTTAGTTGGAATAATACCATCTGATAAGACTAAGCTGATATGCAGTCAAACACCTGTTCTCAGAATGAACCCTATTAAACAAAAACTGTTAATTTTGTTATTAAACGCTTGAATTGCAGAAGCTCTTCTCAGTTTCCAAACTGAGAAATTGACAAAGGAGACAGATTTAGAAAAAAAAAAAAAGAAAGACCTTCCTCTCACACAGACAGCTTCACTTTCTCAAGTTGTTGTGGTTCACCTTTAAAAATGAACATTCAAGCTCAGTGCAGCTTTTGAATGAAACTCCAAAATAAGACATTCAACTCTGGCGAAGGAAAACTATCACCCAGACAGGACAGAAAGTTTTGTGTTGTGTGTCAGATGTGACTGTGAAAAGCGGCACGACAGGCCTGACTGAGCTCTGCGCTGTGGGAAACCTTACATAACAAGTGAATCCAAGTTGAGACACATGTTGGCTCTGGCTGCTGTCTGTGGTTAATATAAATGTAGGCTGCAGAATACAGGGGGAGCAGAGTCTCTGCGTATGTCGGAAAAACAAAGTGGTAGTTAACTCCAGTTTTCACTGTGGATGACGCTTTGAATATCATGCATGAAGTATATTTAGGTATTTTGCTTTATAACTGGTTCATAATGTTTATTTTTTTGTTTGCATAAATGGACATTAGGTTATTCTGTCAACACTATGGCTGGGCGATATGACCAAAAATCAGTATCACAATATATTGAGCAGTTCACCTCGATAACGATAAATGGACGCCATCATCCATCTCCTCACCTGTCTTTCCCTCTTTGTTACGAACCCGATGGGGTGGAGTCACGTCTCTGTCTTAAAACAGCGTCTTAAATGGAAATGAGATACTAGCCTACCTACACACATCTAAACCCAACTTTTATTTATTGATTATTTTGACACGGAATATACCGATATGGGCAAAATGACATTGGTTATTGTCATAAATGTCAGTATCTGTAAATTTTCGGTTTATCGCCCAGCTGTAGTCTCTCATTCATTAAATGAAATGTTTTATTTTTGTAGTAATCTGATAATTTTGATTCACAATTTTATAAACATGCCGCTAATTGCACATTTGGATTCACTCTAAAATGTTGATTGTTTTCAGGAGGATTTTCTGTCCGCCCTTTCGTTCGAAGCATCCAGCGTCAGAGCTTGTCCTCCAGGTCATCCATCGCCAGCCCTTTGGCCTACAGCGACAGCGGGATAAGACCCTCCTGGTCTCTGTCTGCGAAGCTGCAAATGAGATCCAACTCGCCCTCACGTTTCTCCCTGGACTCCCGCTGCTCCCCACCCCTGGAAAGGATCGGAGAGGCCTGCGACGACAAAGTTTCCACGTCCTGTTTCGGCAGCTACAGCAGACATGAACGCTACTTTGGTAGCAGGACGCCCCTGTCCATGATGGAGAGCAACTTCAGCGAGCAAGACAACAGTAAACGCTTCCTTGACATGATGTACTGCAGAGCGCCTACGCCAGTGGACAAGAAGGGCAGCAAAAATGAGCCAACTGAAAACAACAACCAGATCACAGCTATAGACCAAAACATTTTACCCACTCAAGCTACTCCCTCTAAAGACCAGAAACGCAAGAGCAGCATCGGAGGATTCACCTCGAAGGCTGAAAGCTCGACGAAGAGTTCCAGCAAAGCGGAGCAGGAGAAAGCCTCTAAAAAGCGTTTGTGCTCGACCCATAAGACCTCCTGCTCCGAGACATCTTTCGGAACACCTGTGAAAGGCAAAAAGGTTAGCAATACTAAAGAGAAGAGCGTCAATGCCAAGAAGAGTCCATCTACGCCCAGTGGTACCCCCTCCAAAACAAAAGAGGCAGCTAAACCTCAAGAGGGGACGCCGCAACACAAGCAATGTGTCCGCTCCACACCTCAGTCTTCGGCGTCCCCTTCTCCCACTTCAAAGAAGAACACCAGTGTAGCTGACAAAACCACCGCGAGCAGTCGGAAAAAGATGGTGGAGAGGAGCTTCAGCAGAGATTCTATGCACACAAGCCCCCTGGTGGACAATCTCAGGGGCTCGGTTGGTCGCTCCTCACTTTCTAGAAGTGGGGACAGCAACCGGACCGAGAGACGATTCGTGAGGAGCTCCAGCAGCAGCTCCTCTGTCACCAGCCTGCGCTCCCCCAGCGTCTCCACCAGGGACTTACAGCGCAGCAGCAAAACCGAGGAAAAAGGCTTGTCTTTCTTCAAGAGCGCCCTCCGACAAAGGGAAAGCCGCCGGTCGGCTGATTTGGGAAAAAGCTCCCTGCTTGCCAAAAAGGCCTCCGAGAGGACCAGCAAGCAGAACGGACAAGCCAAGGACTTGGGCAGCGATAACGGCAAGACGGGGGACGGCGTGTCTTCGAAGACATCTCCAGAGATTCACGCGGGTGAGACAAAGTCGACGACGAAGGAGTCTTCCAAGCCCACCAGCTCTCTCAGCCGCACTCTGTTGAACGTTGGCAAATCCAAGTCTTCCATGTCCGAAGTAAGTCTCAAGTCTCCCACAAACGGGAAGAAGCCTCTCGAAAGGATGGCGTCTTCCCAAAAGCTGTCATCCAGCATGCAATCTCCTGCACGTACAACACAGAGGCCTCAATGATACATCCATACTCGTAACACCTAATACTGAACATGATGCAGCTATTTTCTTTGTGCCTAAGTTGCAGTGAGCACCACACGTATTTGTAGAGAGACATGTTTTCAGATGAGTGTCTTGACACTGAGGGGTGAGCATTGGCAGCCAGCCTGGATAAAAGGAAGACCTGCCCATCTTTATCATATTTAGGATCCTGCTATGCTGCTAAGTCTGGCTTTCTAAGGAGGTCAGATTGTTTCCATTTACGCATCACAAGTGCAAGGTGATGACATTTTGACACATTTTGATTAATGAACATTCACGTGCATTCAGCTGTCTGTTTGACTGCTGACAGAGCTCCCTCTCTGAATCTTGAAATCCAATTATCTTTCCTCCAGACAAAGCCTTGTTACGTCTTTGTATCGCTGCAAACAGGTAGCTTAGTTCGCTTGTAAAATATCCACGATAATGTAGCACCTATAGATGGCATATAGTCAAAGAAGAAAGCTGGCTGCTGGTGAAAGCATTTGAACCTCAAGACCCGAATTTAAAAAAGTGTCTCTGTACAAATACTAAACCTGAGCTGAGATGCTCCAAACGCACACACACACACACACAAGAAGAAGAGTTTCATTCCGAAATAACTTTGGCTAGTAATCGTTTTTCATCGACAGTCTTAAGTAAAAGCTACAAACTCTTTTTCAGTTTCTTTCTCCAGAGTCCCCACGCTTGGGTTAGTCGAGGTAATAGAAGCGTTTTGATTAAAGACATGAATACGTGTAGCGATAAGCGATTCTGTAATTTTTTTTTTTTCGTGAGAGAAAAGAGTTTCCAGGCATAAAAGTCGAACAAGATGTGATGTGAATTTTTTTGCGTCTCTGAACACTAATGGAAATAACTACAGAGGCGATAAAAGGACCGGGACCAAAACAGTGAGAGGATCTAAGATGAGAAAGAATCAGACTCATTGCTTCCAGTCTTTCTGATCTGTTGAGCTTTATTTTTCTTCAAAAATAGTACTTTTTGCATAGAAATGTGTCTTGTCAAATGCTTTTTGACGGGGGAAATATTTTTTTCTTGGGGTGATGGCGACTTTTTGGAATGAAACCCTTTAAAATCAAAGATTATAAATACAAATATATATATAAATGTGTCTGTACAGATATTGATAAAATCTATCGTATAATTACTCCTCTTTTCCATGAGCAAGATAAAATGATCTTAAGCGCCTTTCAGTACTTTCAATACTGTATATGGAAACAAGTTATTGCCCTTGGCAACATTGTAGTCTACTACTGTATGCATCACTGAGTAGGAATGTGGTATGGTTTGCACTTTGTATAGAGATAGTAGTTTTCTTTGACCCAGATCAGTCCTATAAATGTATACATACACTAACACTAACTTAACAATGTAATGATCTCGTTTTTACGGTGTTCCTGATTTAAGACGTGTGATTACGTGGTGTAAACAGGCCTTAGACTTGAAATGGTAAAAGGGTACATTCATCTCAATGTTTCAGGGGCCAAAATAAAGGCTCCCTTTACTACACCTGGTGCTGTAACAGATCGATGCTTCTCAGTCAGCGATTCTTAAACACAATATTTTCGACGCTGATGTTCAGAACTGTGACCACACTCGTCAGTGAACCACAAACCTGTCGGCAGCGTTTCTCCTAACCCGAGGTACCTCACAGGAGAACACGATACTTTTAACATTTCTGTTCCTCCTCTTCACCAGACTGAGAGTCGAATTTCATCCATGAGCCATCTGATTAATCCTACAGCTTCATTTATAAAAGCCTTTTAGTGTCGTCCGAGTATGAATATGAATATGTGGGCTGGATCTTCTGCATGGTGTATTTGAGGCAGAGGCGGCCTCCCGCTGGTCTCGCTCTGAACAATCAGCTCAAGCAACAACTGCAATATTCATACAGTAGAAACCAGCATATCGTAAGTTAGGGTTTAGGGTTATTGAATGAATGAATGTGTTGCGCTCTTCAAATCCAAGCATTAGTAAGTTTTTATCTCACACATGAACATTTCCTCTCCTTCATATTTCTCTGTAGCATCTACAAGGTTTACATCAGTTCTCAGATGGTTTTAAAGGAAGAACCACACGCTTCAGAGTCACATGTATGTTATTTCAGTGGCCTCGGTGGGGTCTGAACAAGTTTTCAGCCTTTCTTTTTCAAACTCTTCTTGCACCGCTTATTAAAAGAAACTTTAAGGCAAACCGGTTCAGTCACAAGTTTTCCAGGATAGCAAGATTCAGAGCAAGTTGGCAAGTCACTGCACTGATGGCAGTTTGAGTGAGTGTGTGCTGACTACACACACTTGCCGTGTTGAAGAATAATCTTAGTTAGGGATACCGAAGCTGTTGCTGGAAACTAGCAAACAAAACATACAATCTAGGGCTGTAATCAACCAAAGAAAATGTTGGTCGACTAAAACCTTGAAATTTTCGACCAAAAATCAACAAATAGGGTGGGGGTCATGGCTCGGCGAGGTGAAAATATACAGATAAGAAGCATAAGAAGCTATTGAACACAAAAGACTAAAATATAAAATCACCGGACGTTGATTAACATGGACGCTCTTCAATCTTCTCATCCCCAGTCCGTCTCCAGTGGGTTGGACAAATCCAAAATTGGTGAAAACGAGGGGGGGGTTCAGAGGCAGGCTGTTACCTGTGAAACAGGTGCTTTGAAAACAGCTCCATTAGCACTTGGTATGTTCGTCCTTATGAAATTAGCCATATGCTGCGTTTGAGTTACCCCAGAAGTTCGATATCAGAGCTAAAAATGACGTCACACCCAAGTTACCAGCGTTTCAGTTACAAGATGGGAAAAAAGCAAAATCAGACACCTGAAACAAGATGGCTACATCTAGGAAAGTTATTTTAGCACTTGCCTCATATTCGGACAAGGCAAGCGCTAAAATAACTTTCCTAGATGTAGCCATCTTGTTTCAGGCTTCCGATTTTGCTTTTTTGACTCGGTAACTGAAACGTTGGGAACTTGGGTGTGACGTCATTTTCAGCTCGGACTTCTGACTTCGGCGGTAACTCGAATGCAGCAATAGACTGTAAATTGACGCTTAAAAGTCGAGTCGACCAATCAGAAATCCTCGGCGCGTTATCGACCAGTAAGTTGACCAGTCGACTAGGACTTTACAGCCCTACAACTCTTTTTTTTTTTTTCTTCAAACTTATTTTTAACTAAAGCTCAAACTTCTGAATATTTTTTTCTCCATAATTTAAACCCGGAGCTCACAGCCTGTTATTTGCAGTGAAGTAAACTTCCTCCGACAGTCATATCCTCTCTGCTGGTGATATTACAGTGACTACATTCCTCAAACCCGACTCGACCATTAAAATAACATACCGCTGTTTCAAAGTGGTGGTCTTCCTTCAGCTGCTCTTTTCTACTCTTCATTCTTATCTATCAGGAACCTATGCATGGCACTTTGGATCAAAGCAGGACCGGTTTTTATCTCTCTTTGGCTTTCACCTGCCTGTTTTAAAGTCTGTATTTTTCTTATTGTGGCTAGTGTGCATTATCGAGCCGGATCACACCATTACACGCTCGTCTGTTCATTCACCTGCTTAAGGGTTAGTGGATCTATACATACAAGGGGGCCAGAATGAATTGTATTAGGATGCAAGGCCCATTAAAATACATTAGCATTTACTTGAGACCCTGGGGTTTCAAAGAAGTGGCAGAAATCTTTCTCAGCTTGATTTTTTTAAAACAAATTTAACCCACTCACACTACACTTATATGTGTGTGTGTGTGAGTGTGTGATCACCTTGTCTACATTCCCACAGTATGATTTTATGAGTTTATGGTCCTGTATTACATGACAGGAAGCTGCTAGTATGGAGAGATCACACTTTTTTGACCTCAATGTTTATCTAAGTTAAAGTCCTAGCAGTGGAGTAATTATCCAGTCCTCATTCACATTTATGAATATAGGGATTAACAGAGTCAATCCAACATGGCTGGGGTATTGAAGACCAGACGAACTGTCCTCCTTAATCCAAATAACTGACTTGATGTCATAATCAATGCAGAATGTCAGAGAAAATGAATCACCATCTTTTCACTGAATTGATTTTGCTCCCCGGCTTTCTTCGCTGCAGTTTGTTTTTTGTCGTCTGTGCGTTTATTTGTTGTCAGTGTACAGAACTAAGAATGATTAAGGAATGCAGTATTGCATGAAAACACTAATGCATGTATTTCATTAACTATGCAAGCCTGTGCGGCTGTGTAAAGTGGAGAGCGGAGCATGGCTGTTCAATCCCATTGCTTAATTTGCACACCATTCCAATATTTAGACGTTGTGAATTACAGAGTTCTTCATTTGTACAGTGAAAGGCATTACTCTTTAAAAACAAACAACAAAAAAAAGATTTTAAACAAATCAATATGCTTTTACAGTTAAACAGTCAACGTTTAAATTCTTCTCTTTTCGTGGGTTTCTTCTTGGGTGCTCCTGCCAAACTTGGTGGGTAACTTAATTTTTTTGGGACAAACACTTATGGTTGTACACCAGCAGAGACAACTCTATGAACGCAACTATATCTTTGTGCTTTTAAAGTAGCCTCATGTATGTCTGTGCGTGTCTGTCTGTGTGTGTGTGTGATGTGAAAAAAGGCTTCCATTAATTCACATTAGTGAAAACACGTTGTGAACCCCTAAAGAAACTTTCTCTGCTGCATCAAAGATGTAGTCTGTCTAATATAAAAGCAACTACAATAAATGTAAATATATATATATAGTAAAGCTAAATGCAATAAGGAAAGGTAGTACGTTTGTAGTTTTATAAAACAGTAAGTCAAGAACAGTGGCATTAAAAACGTAAATGTTCAGTTGATACTTTTGTAGTATTACGCCATATTCATTATGAACATGATGTGAATTTTTATTTCCTCTTCAAAGCAGTCCCTTTATCAGCGCTTTCCAAACATACTTAAAACCACAGCACTATTAATTCATGATAAAGACATCAGTCAAATGCATACAAGTCTCCCCGCAGAAGTTAATTAAGATTAGAGAAAGCTGTGTTGAGTTTTTGTTGTGACACGGCTGTTTTGTTTTGTTGTCATTATTAAGTTTGGAAAAAGTTCCACTTGTTCATTAATGGTTTTCTCTGCACCGTTTCTGCACCACTGAATCAAGGTAACCACTGAAACTCACGCAGATTCAACAGGTTAGCGCCAGTCTGCACAAATACATGTGCACATGTGTTGTCATGAATTTTAAAGGACTCACCAGACGGTTTCTTCAATTTTCTTCTTTTTTTTTCGGGGAGTTTTTATTTTTTTTCAGGGTGGGTGGGTGGGTTTGGACAAGGATTTTCTAAACACGACAAACAGATGATACTATGATGTGCAAAAGCCTTAAGCCAAGATAACTGTACTGGCGGGTTTTTCTTTCACGATACAGGGATGGAGGAGCTGTTCTGACTGAATGTCATGAGTCTCATTACATTTTCTTAAGCTTCAAGAAGACACTATTACGCTACATAAACAGCAGTTCTCCCTTTTAGTTTTTTTTGTAACACATGATTTTTCTAAATACATCATTTGTAAAGTGTTTTGTGAAATGTTGCTTTCATTCAGACTCTTACTGTGTTCACTTTTACCTGGTGTATGGGGTTGTTATTTGCATCCACATCGTCTGGATAGGCGGAATTTTGTCTTATAATTATTTTTTTTTTATTGCAGCCTTTTTTCCATCTTTTTTTAATGATGTGTTTTTACATTCAGTAGTTTCAAACAAGTTCCTCAGACTGTGTCAAAGTCTTCTGTGTTAATTTATTTCTTTTTTTCATTACCATTTATGCACTTTTACTTTTTTTTTTTTAATTTCTCCAAAAAGACAAATGTGTATATACTTTGTTGGTTTACCCATGCAAGTACAAAACGAAAAAAACCTGATTAAAAATATTAAAACTGTCACAGTTGTGGTGTTTTATTTTGGATTGTTTCATGGCTTTGTTTGCACACTAGAGGGAGCTTTTTCCTAACAAACTGTCCCCTGGTTGACTTGGTTCCTCTGTTTCTAAGGGATGTCAGAGACTCATTGATGAGGGATTAAAAATCTAGTTGCTTGGTGTTTTAGTACTATTTAATATTTAAAGTAAATCTCACTGTGGAGAGATCTGCAAAACTGTTAACATTCAGCGTGAAATTGTTATTATTCCAGGGGCTGTTGCAAGTTGCTGTGTGAATGCATTAAACAGTGTTTCTCCTGATGCTCAGAAATTCACCTTTTTATCTTCTTTAGATTCATTGAGGGACAGGCAGGCGATTGTATGAGCACACAAATCTCCCGCTCATTTTCCGGCTGCAGCAGACACAGTGCATTATCTGAGATCTCAAGGCTCTGCAATACATGAGCAGCTCTAAATTTATGGGCAGGGTTATTATTTCAAGCTTTTCCAGAGTTAGGAGGGTTCAGGGGTGATGAGATGTGCGGATGCAAGCACGCGTGAGCTCAGCTCTTCTATTTACATGAGACAGCTGCAAAAAAGTGAAGAACTTGACTGAGTTGTTTGAAAAGTAAATGTGAGGTAGGCTTAATTTTCAGACTGGCATGAAGAGTGTTGTTGGCAGGATATAAAACTGTGGCTTCTATTTCTACACTGAAATGATCACAAAAAATAGGCTTTTAAAATGACCCAAACACTTCACCACAAGTACCTTCAAACAGTTCAACACTTATCTCAATGATAAATCAGAGACACGTCAAATAAAGACATGAAACAAATTGATTTTTCAACCTGTGAGTTCAGGAGTTTGGGCTAACTTTCAAATATAGATACTGATGAGGGTAGATAATAGAACCTCTAGATTCAATGGTCAAAAGTCAAAGATAAAGATAGGTGAAACCAAATAGTTTTTATTAATGCTTCAAATCCAATCAGTTCGTTTCTTACACTTGTCAAAAAGAGCAGGTTTAAACTCAAGTTCTTTGTTGTATCAGCAAAGGAAAGCAGAAACCTCGGTCAGAACCGGACTCACTGGTGGATCGCTGCTGCGACTGCTGTGACTCGATGGGCTGAAAAAGAGAATTTCCCAGGTTTAGAGAATTTCCCAGGTTGGGATCAATAAAATATATCTATCTCTCTATCTTAAACTGTGACAGAGAGAGGCTTGTAAATGTCGGATCCAGACAAACTGCATAAAAACAGGCTAATAACTGTTGCAACGTCAACAACAGCTATCGTCATGGTGATGGACACTGCATATGAAGCGAATAACACAATCTCTAAGTCGCCAATCACTGTGAAGTCTCTTCAACCAAAAACAGTTGTGAATATAGCAACAATGCTGTAAGTTGGAACAATTTTTCTGGAGGGACTTTGATAAAATTTCAGCCTTAAATCCTTTTACAAATAAAGTTAGGGTTCTATTCACCCTCTTGGGATTTGAACCTACACAGCCACCCATTCATTTTACTTGCCTCCTTACAGCGACACCTGGGTGGGATGTGTTAGCCAAAAACATTTGGTCTATGAGTTGATGTGTTGAAAGCAAGAGAGGAGGACAGACAAACGCTGGAGGGAGCTGCTGGAGCTCTGAATGCTGAAACTGTTAATGCTGGTTCTGTTAGCTGTGGTTCAGAGGTTGCCTACGCTGATCCCTGTCCCTGAATGAGAGCACCCACATTGGGCACATAAGCATCAGAACTGGACCATAATGTGATGGAAGAAGGTGGTGTCAGGATGTTGACTTAGCCTTCATAGTCCCAGGATTTCAGTCCTGTGAAGCATCCACAATATGCGATGGGAAATCAAGACTACACCTCAGATCTATCCATGGAGGCTTTTATTTATTTTATTTTTCAT